AAAATATGTAATTTAACAAGAAATTTTTTAGTTTAGTCTGCTGGTTTACTAATGGCAGTGTTTTAAAATTTCCATTTTAATTTAGGAAGTATTCATGTAAAAACACTTCTTTTTTAGGGTATTTTTATGGAGTTCTTTAGAAACTTCTTCCGTTATGAAACAATTGAACCAAAATGTTTCCTTCTACATATTCCTTTAAGAACAATATAATGCCCAATAGAATTAATATGGAAATTAAAATTTGAATATATTTTAAAAGTTGGACATATATAAGGTCTAAATTTACATTATTATAGTTTTTTATTATCATATTTATTATTCCAATCCTATACATTATAATTTGTGTGATGTGTCTGAAATGGAAAAGAAAAGAATAATTATAGGCAAACACATAAATGTGTATGTCCAATGTTTAGGTCTTAAAATGTGATGAGTTTTGTTAGTGGACTTTATCATTACAAGAGATGTGTGACGACCCCCAACAACCAAGATAAGCCCGTCCTATCTGGGCTGTAACTCCGAGTAAGTATTTTTAACAGGCCCGGCCCAAATATTAACATTCTTCCTAACTCGTTTAGGCCCACGGATCGAACCCGACCGAATGCTGTGACGTGTCGATCCCAGGATCGGCCTCCCCTCAGGTTCTTCAATGGCTTCTGTACCTGCGTCGAAATTCCAGTGAAAACCTAAATCTCTTCCTCTTCTCTCTCTGAGTCGCCGTGAGCTTCTGGTCAAAAGCAATGGCGGACGTCGACAGCGCGAAGCCTCCATCTCTCTCCGAGGTTCTACCGCGCTCTGCATCTCTAGATTCTCCGATTCACGGCGATTTATTTTTCCTCAATCTGTCTTCGTTTTGTTAAATCGTGAAATTTTATTTGGGAATTTGGGGTTTTTTCTAGACTATTGTATTGAATCTGAATGTTTGGCTGCGTTTCCATGATTTATTTCCGATTGCTTGTATAATGCTTTGTGATACATTAGTTGATTGAAAACGATAGAAGTTATATGATCTGAGCTAGCTGAATGATAAGAGATAAATTTCACTACGTGGAAACTTTAAAGCTAGTGGCTTTTTGTTGATTCTAATTATAGTTTAAGTGTTTTCTTCTACCCTTCCACAGAATTAATGCCCCATTCATAGGAAATTTTCTGTTTTTATGAGCTATAGCCACACCCATGATCCAGAAAATGAATAACATTGCATAGTTATAGCCTTACTAAGATCAATTGAAATTTATCTAAGAATTCATTTTCAGTAAGGTAGGTTAACTGGTAATGTATTTCTTGTGAAGCTACACACACACACACACAAACACACACACACAAACACACACTCACACACACACTTGGACAATGCAACAATGAAAAGAGTGCAAGTTTTGTTTTTTTGTTTTTTGCTTTTACTCTTTTGCTGCAGATCTTTTAGTGTTTTATGGCGTTGATTGATGACAGCAATATTTACTGAAAGAGAGAGAAGAGAAGGTGTCTATACCTGTCAAGCCTGTTGAAGAAGATGCTCCCAAGACCCCCGAGGATGCATCAACAGTGGAAGTACCCCCAACAGATGATGAAGAAAACAGTGTATCACCAGATCCTCCTCAAGTTGTGAGCGATGTACCTGCTCCTGCTACAGAAGTTGTTGGTGAAGATAGCAGCAGTCCAAATGCTGAAGATGATACCACAGGCAGTCAAGAAGAAAGTCAAGAATCTGCTGATGAGACCCCAAAGGAAGATATTAAGGTGACCTTATTTTCTGTTTGTCTAATTGGATAGTGGCATTTTACTATATTTTTTGTTTGTATAAGCTGAATCCTTTGTATGTGTCTTGAAATCGGACACTCAGCTTGAGACAGCCCCGGCAGATTTTCGGTTTCCTACTACGAATCAGACTAGACATTGTTTTACTCGATACGTAGAATATCATCGGTGAGTCATACAATTGAAGCTGGTTTGAGGGGTTTGGTATTGTTCCTATTTACCAATCTTATGTTGCGCTTATATAATGATTTTGACTTGTTTTGTATTTCAGATGCATTGCTGCAAAGGGTGAAGGTGCACCTGAGTGTGACAAGTTTGCAAAGTATTATCGTTCCCTTTGCCCCGGGGAATGGGTAAGCTTCCCTCTTGGTTTTGCTCTTAACTTGATATTTATATTTTATCTCGTACCTCAATTTGAACAGTAGAGAAGGAAGTTGGTTGCTACATTTGAAAGCACTGATCGGGTGGGGAGAAAACCGTTAAATACTCCGTAGAATTGTAAAGAAGAAAGTATCACACAGAGTACAAAAGAATTCACTTGTGTAGAATATTAAACACCTACACTATGTGTGGTTCTAGGAATTCAAAAGCGAAGAAAAGAAAATGGTAATGAAAAAAAACTTTGGGTTTTGGTTAGAAACAAAAAGAAAAGATAAGGCAAGGAAAATGTAAAGTAAAATTTGGAAAGTGATTTTCCTTCCATTTTTGTGAGGAAAAGGAGAGAAAACTCCCTCTCCTTCCCTCTTCCTTGTCCTCCCCACCCACCCTCGTCATCCTTCATCTTCCCTTGCCCCCACTCCCCCACCCACCCCCATCCTTCATATGTCTTCTTTTGTATACACTCTGCAATTTCCAAACCAAAATTTATTGAAAAATAATTTTCTCACCAATTTCCCTACTAACTAAACAAGAGTAAGATTTTTTAAGATTTTGACTTGCATTTCCTTTTCTTAGCATTCTCATTTCTTCTGTAATTTGCGAACCACCAAACATGGTGCTAAAGATCTACTGTCTTAGACTTAGTTTGCTTAGGTTCTTTTTAAATCTATCTAGAAAAATATATCACAAGCTTCATGAAGGCTTCTGCTATGTAGATTAGTGCACCTTAGACAAAGTGAGATAGATGAATCATTTTCTATTCTTGAATGGTTTGTGTTTTCGTCTGCAGGTAGACAGATGGAATGAACAGAGAGAGAATGGCACCTTCCCTGGTCCATTATAAAGATGGTACCCAAAAGCACTTGAATTTTTTATGTTTTTTTCCAAGAGTGCTGGTAAAGCACAATGAGATGATGAATAATGTTCTGGCTTTGTGTACTGAATTGTTTACTATCCTATCAAAAAATGATTTTGTTGCAATTTACAAGCAATTATTGCTGATAAACTTCAATTAAAACCAGCATTGACCATTAATGTTATGGCCAATTTGGCTTCCTATGTTTCTTTCACACACTTGGTCCTTGATAATGCTGTTTTGCTCTTATTTCTTGCACCTAAGCATAAATCCTGTAGTAAGCTGTAGCTCTTGGGGATCTTTTATCTCCTAATCCTAAAATCCTCCCCAAACCACCAAGGTAGTGCCCTTCAATAAAGAAGAGGGTGTTGCTAAATCTAATCTAATTTTGGCTTAATCTTCTCTTTTTATGATAAATAGACAACTTATCCAATCTAGTTTAGGCTAAATCTTCTCAAATCTTCTAATTTTAAGGGTAATAAAATTGTCAATTTAACATAAACAAGTAGATTTAGCCAATGGGACGAAGGTAGTTTTCAACACATTTTTTAAACTCGATGAGCACATCCATAGAGGGATAGAGGTAGTATTCAACATAGTTGTGCTTTCGTGATCATAAAGTCACATGTGAAATATAGTGTATCAATCTTCTTGTATGTTTCATAAATTTTTTTCTTTTTGTAAAAAATCTAAAACTATTTCATGATCTAAAAAGAGTACTTTCTTCACTATCCAAAAATCATGAAAATTGTTGTTTATTTGTGTGTTTTGATTGATAATTCGATCAAATAAAATATCTTTGTCATCGCTTATGTTGTAGAACTTTTAACGTAGTTTTTAAATATGTAAACTTTATTTTTATGTCTTTACTAGCCTCTAAATAAAATAGATTAAAAAATTGAAATTCCACTTCATTTTGTGCAAAGTGTAAAATATTTTGAGACGAGTAAAGTATATAAATCCTTTATATAAAATCAATGTGTAGCTAAAGACAATTTATTCTATAGAATTAATTCACTTGTGTCTCAAAGATTACATCCCAAAATATACTCCCACCGTCCTAAAACTTTCTTCTCACTTCCCCTTTTTCTCCGTCCTAAAACTACCTTCCCATTAAAAAAAAAAGATGACAAATGACATTAATACCCTCATGTATTTACACCAATTATCATCTAACTCTATATTTTGAATGATTGCAAAAAAAAAATTTCAAAAAATTTTTTTTAAGGAGGGTAAAATTTGAAGTCAAAGCCAAAAATTAAAAATGGGGAAAAGTCAAACTGGGAAGAAAGAATTAGGACGAAGGGAGTATCTTATAGATTTATACTTAAATTATGTGTTAATGTAAGTGTAGGTTTACATTGATATAAAATGTTATAGCAAAATTTTGCAATCGTAGCAGAAAATTACTCGCGGGTGACGCGAGTTTTGTCGAAATAACTTTCAGGTCCCTTTATTTTCAAAAAGACAACCGAGGTCCTTATATTTTGCTGTAATGACTGGGAGAGGACATTTCATCCAATACATCATCCGTAAGTGTTAATAAATGCATTTTTTCATATTTTTCCAATACCGTTTTTTCCTATTTTGCCATTACCTTGTTTTTTCTTTTTTTAAAATTTTTTTTATTTCAATAGTTTTAATATAATACTAACAATTTTGAATTTTTATACAATTTTATAAAAGAAATTCAAAAATAACACTTTAAAAATTAGTAACAAAATGAAAGAAAAACAAAGAAATAAAAAAAGGAGCGAACTAAGATTTATTACCTTAAAACATTTAGAAAAGAATAGGGAAAAAATACATTTATTAACGTTTATAGATGAAATATTGGATGAAATTTCTCCTTCCAGTCTTTACAACAAAATGTAAGGACCTCTGCTGTCTTTTTGAAAATAGAGGGAATTGAGAGTTATTTCAATAAAACTCGCGTCACCGTGAGTAATTTTCTGCAATCGTAGTAACATTTTATATCAATATATATCATCAAAATATAAGTAAATTTTTTTTTTTACATTGGTTGTACTCCGCAAGTGTCATCCGTTTAGGATTGGCTGTTGGCTAATCCACAAATTTATCTTCCCGTTCGTTCGTCCGTCCACGCCATTTCTCTTCTTCTCTGTCAATTCAAAAAACTCTTCACACTCCCCCGCAAACAATGGCAGCATCTGCTTCCTACACTCTCTGCGCCATTCCTGCATCCTCTTCCTCCGCCGACGCCTCCTCTTCCAAGCGCGCCCCCATTTTCCTCCGGACTCCAGCGCGCCGCCTTGGATTCGCCGCGGCGAACTCGCTATTCTCGCGCCGTGTCGCCACCCAGCTCCGATCCCTCAGGGCTTCCGCCAAGCCAGCCGGCAGAGTCATTTCCATGGCTAAGAAGAGCGTCGGCGACCTCGGCGCGGCTGAGTTGGAGGGCAAGAAGGTCTTTCTTCGCGCCGATTTGAATGTCCCTCTCGATGAGAATCAGAACATTACTGATGACACTAGGATCAGAGCGGCCGTGCCGACCATCAAACACTTGATTACTAATGGTGCCAAAGTGATTCTCTCCAGTCATCTGGTCAGTCCAGTTTCTGCTTTTGCTATGGTTTTCCCTGCAACTTCTATCGATTAGGTTGCTTTATGATTCAGTTTATACGAGTGAGTTGCTTCATTTTATGTCATTGATTGAGTTATTGGTTTTAGGGTCGTCCGAAAGGGGTCACACCAAAGTACAGCTTGAAACCTCTCGTACCCAGATTGTCTGAACTAATTGGCATTGAGGTTTGTTTTGAGTTTCTCTACCTGCCATATTCCCCTTCATACTTCTTTCAAATCGATGCGGAGTACTTAAGAAGAGATTTTTCTTTTTTGTTTTTCCTTATCTTATAGGTTAAGATGGCAAACGATTGCATTGGTGAGGAAGTAGAGAAGTTGGTTGCTCAAATCCCGGAGGGTGGTGTGCTGCTTCTAGAGAATGTGAGATTCTACAAAGAGGAAGAGAAGAACGATCCGGAGTTTGCAAAAAATCTTGCATCCCTTGCGGATTTGTATGTTAATGATGCTTTTGGAACAGCCCATAGAGCTCATGCTTCCACAGAGGGAGTTACAAAGTACTTGAAACCAGCTGTTGCTGGATTCCTTATGCAGAAGGTTGGCATTTCAATGGGGTATTTTGGTAAATTTTCACTGTATATAGGATATTATTACCTTGCCTTAGTGCCTTACCCTGAAATCCCTCCATCTTCTTCTGTTACTACCTTAGGAGCTTGACTATTTAGTTGGTGCTGTGACTAAACCCAAGAAGCCATTTGCTGCAATTGTTGGAGGATCAAAAGTATCCACCAAAATTGCTGTAATTGAATCACTGTTGGAAAAGGTGGACCTGCTATTGCTGGGTGGAGGGATGATCTTTACTTTCTACAAGGCTCAAGGACACACAGTTGGGTCCTCACTCCTGGAGGAGGACAAGCTTGACCTAGCCGCGTCCCTCATTGAGAAGGCCAGGTCTAAGGGAGTCTCACTGTTGCTTCCTACTGATGTTGTCGTTGCTGACAAGTTTTCTGCTGATGCTAACAGCAAGGTTTCACTCACTGTCTCTATTACTTTTTGGGTCAAAATTCTATGAAAAAAAATTGGAAAAAGGAAAGAAAATTCAAATGATTTAATCAATTAAAAAATATCATGTGAATTTCAAAGAGTTTTAATCAAATTTGAATTCCCTCCATATTCTCCGAGGTAAAAGCCAAGTATAAAATTTTTGCATTCCAGACACAGCCAAAGATTATCTTTTCTTTTGAGCTTTGAGGTGCAAATTAAATGATGAATGATAATGGTTGTGATTAATCAGGTGGTTAGCGCGACTGCAATACCAGATGGCTGGATGGGGTTAGATGTTGGACCTGATACAATCAAGTCATTTGGTGAAGCTTTGGATGCCACCCAAACAATCATATGGAATGGGCCTATGGGTGTGTTTGAGTTTGACAAGTTTGCTGCTGGGACTGAGGTTTGACTCTCTAACTTGTTGTCAAAAGACATTAAAAATTTCTTAAAAAGCTTCACTGCCTTTTTAGGTCTGCTTACACCCAGACACTACTTGTGGAACCTTACTGAGTTGTTCCAATAGTTGTTGATGGGTATATTGGGAATTGGCCCAATGTTCCCTGCCCAATTATTTATTTAGCGAGTTGTAATTAGGCCCAATATGTTGTGAGAGGGGTTGGAGTGCCAGGCCCGGAAGTGAGGCGTAGGCCCACATGAAAAGGTTTGGGTTTTGATAACCCGGAAGTGAGCTCCAGCCATGCTTGGGGTGAATTATGGTTGCAGCTAGATCAGAGAGACTGAGACATGATCTCCACGTGACTGAAACCGAACCGGTCACTTTTCATAATTAGTTCTATACTTCTACTAATTACGGATCATGATTAGCATGTACGAAGCTTGTACTGTAAAGATGACATTTCTCTCTGGAGAGATCACACTCTCTTGTTATACGAAGGGCAGCACAAAACTTTGTTTCTCTAAATACTATTTCTGATCTTGCTTCTTATAATCACTTACTGTTCTTAATTCTCTGTGGATTTTACATCCATCAATTGTTGGTGTTGTTGTTCCTAGGCCATTACAAAGAAACTGGCAGAGCTTAGTGGAAAGGGAGTGACGACAATCATCGGAGGAGGAGACTCGGTTGCAGCAGTCGAGAAGGTTGGGCTTGCAGATAAGATGAGCCATATCTCAACTGGAGGTGGTGCTAGCCTGGAGCTACTTGAAGGGAAAATGCTTCCTGGTGTTCTTGCACTTGATGATGCTTGAGACCACTTCCTTCTGTTTTTCTGCTTCTGATTTTCTTCTTCTCATTCAAATTTATCTCTGTAGTATATGTCCTACAAAGAGGTTACATTGATGAACAAAGCCCTAAAGTTGTTGATTGCTAGCTGAAACCATTTTCGTTACATAAATAGATTCAGCTTTGGCATTGTTTGGTTAACACCATTTTGCTGATTAATCATATGGTAATTTTAACAAGAGGAGTAAGTTAGTTTTCCTTTTATTCAGCAAAACAAAACGGTATTGATTAAAGAGCTTCATATATATCCAAATTGAAAGAACAACACACTTGGTACATCTCACAAAAATAATAAGGCTAATTACAATTTATTAAAAGTACTGATGTTATCATCTAGGCCCTGCAGATGACGATGATACAGTTGCAACACTGGTAGTTGATATTCCCATTGCAGAGGGTATGAAATCCTTCTTACTAATAGTAATACACGACTGTATATTCATTGCAACTTCTAATGTTTTAACTACTGTGGACATTGCAGGCCTTTTGTTTGGATCCACATGCAAGCACCAAAGTGCTAGCTCGATCATCTCCTTTACTTGGGGGCCATTCTCTTGCTCGTCGTCCTCTATGCATTTATGAATCAAGACAGACAACTCACTTTGCTCAACTTTCTCCCTCACTATGTCAATCAATCGGTCATCACTCAGGTTTTGCCTTTGAAACACCACTTCCAACAACACAACACCATAGCTGTAAACATCAGCTTTCTCTGTGATTTTCCCACCCAGCCATTCAGGTGCAAGGTACCCTCGCGTTCCTCTCATCTGCGTCATGACGTAGTCTTGATCCCTGTCAATTAGCTTAGCAAGGCCAAAATCTGATAACTTGGCGTTGAATCCTTCGTCCAGAAGCACATTCTGTGGTTTTATATCCAAGTGGGCTATTCTCTTTGCGCAATCCTCGTGCAAGTATTCGAGTCCCTTGGCAATGTGCATAACGACCCTTTTTCTAGTATCCCAATTGAGCCCGGTCTTTGAACCGTCGAGGAATATCCACTTGTCCAATGACCCGTTACTCATGTACTCGTACACCAAAAGCCTGTGTGCCTGTTCAGCACAAAAACCGACCAATTTGACTAAATTAAGATGGTGTATGCCACCTATAGTATGGACTTCAGCTAGAAACTCTTTCATTCCCTGCCCGAAATGATCTAGTCTCTTTACTGCAACTCTGGATCCATTGCTTAAAATTCCTTCAAAAACCGACCCAAATCCACCACCTCCAAGTCTCCGTTGCATATCAAAGTTGTTGGTTGCAGCCTTTAGAACCTCGTAACTGAATCTAGTTGGGGAGTCGGGTAGAAAATGTTGTGACTTCCCCAACACATCAACTTGTTTAATGGGCTTTCTCTTTTTGTATACTAGAATACACACGACGAACATTATAGTGATAAATGCTCCTAGGACTATGAGTAGTACTACTACCTTAGTGGAAGCTTTCCGTCGCGAACTCCTCACCTGAAATCCTGTTCCTCCAGTATGGCCAGATCTGGTAACAAGTTTCGGGTTCCCTGAAAGTGTTACATTCACGTGAGACGCAAAGTGTGGCAATGGTGGGAAAATGTTGTTACGAGAAATATCCATTGTTTTGAGCTTGGTCAAGTGTGTCAAACTCTCTGGTATTGCGCCAGTCAAATTATTATCGTTTAAGTGCAACTCTACCAGAAATGTCAAATTTCTAAAAGAAGGGGAGATGGTGCCATTGAAATGCTGCTTGGAAAAATCAATGATGGTAACGTTCTTCTTCGAGGAATCGCACCTAACAAATACCCATTGATTACAAGCATTGTTACCCTTCCATCCATCTGCAAGCTTTGCCGGATAGCCAAGTGCTTGGGAAACCTGAAGCAAAGCCATCACTTGCTGGTCACATGATCCGGGCGTAACCTTACAGAAGTTATTAGTTGTTTTGCCAACTATTGCAGTGACATTCCATCCGAAAACTGGCAACGGCCCTTGAAGTTTGTTGTTGTGCAGATCAATGTAATCCAGATTGGGTAAAGCCATCAAGGACAAGGGGACAATTCCTGTTAATAAATTGTCCTCAAGTCCAAGCTCTATGATTGAGGTACACTTAGAGAGGTCAGGAATAGGCCCTTGAAACTTATTGCCATTCAACCAGACCGACCACAACGAACTCATGTTCGCAAGGACATCAAGTGCACCAGAGAAACCTTCTTCTTGATCAGAAAGCCACAAGGTGTAGATATTGGACCCTGCAAATGACCGTGGCAACGAACCGACAAAGGCGTTGTAGGTTAGGTCAAGTTCTTGCAACGCAGGCCATGAGCCAAACATGTCTGGTAAAGTTCCACTAAGACTGGCTCTGCTAGCATTGAATCGATTCAAATACTGAGATCGTTGTAATTGGACACCGGGAAAGGTCCACGGGCTGAGTTTCGGGTTATTACCAATAGAGAAATACACTAGGTTGATTAGCCCTTCAAAGGCATTATCCGGCATGGAAGTGAAGTTGTTGCAGTCCATTGTGGTGTCTTGGAGAAATGTCAAGTTGGCTAGCGAAGGCATGCTCCCCTTGAAATGGTTGTTGTCCAGATACAGATAAGTGAGCTTTGAGAGGGAGTTTAGGTTACCAGGCAATGTCCCCAAGAGGGACTGGCGTGACAGGTCAATTTCAGTCACCTGAAATGAGCTGTCACAAGTTACTCCAGGCCATCTACAATGGCTGACGGACGCGTTCCAGCCTTTGGGTGTGGGGGAAAGAGACGAAGCGAGTCCCTTCATGACACTTGCTTCAGGTTCTCCATTGGAGACAGTGAAGATAGTGCTGCTCTGAAGGATGAAGAGTAAAAGGCAGCCTGGTTGAACATGCATCTTTTGTTCTGGTAAGTTGGAGGTAGATATGGTTTATAGATGGAATTTGATGTAGTGATAATATATGTGAATATATATGGAATGTGTTATGTCAAGGAAGACAAAGACCTTTTCTTTGTGAACTGTCTTTTCATGGGGCTCACAAACAATTGGCTCATCTGGAAGAAATCCACACCAGAAAGAGAGACATTGTCCACTTTGTTCTACCAAAGGGTAATATGAGCCTGACTCTTTTGGCAACGCTCGGTGTCATAATATGACACTGATCTATTCGGAGGTCATATCGTTGGACTGTCCGAATTTTTTTTTTTTTAAAAAAGTCAAGTTTCAACTGCCAACTGTCCACAGGAATGCCATAAGTATACATAACTGTGACATTAGTCAATTTGTGGGGAGAGGGTATATGAGTTGATGAGGAACCCAATTGACTTGATTGACCCTTGAAGTAGTCAGGGAAGGAAGTGTATCTCTATATTGACTACGGAGTATATATACGAAGTATCTTTTGAGTCTCAATTATTTACTCTCTCTAACTCTAAAAGATTGCCACATTCTAACTTTTTTGGTAAAACTGTGACATCCTTTAGACAAAAAAATGTTTATCAAGTTTGTAAGCATTTGTTTATTATACTCATGTGAAGGTCCATCTAAAATGATGTAAACCATAGATCCACAATAGCATTTGTCTATCTTGTTTTGTAAATTTTTAATTAATTTTGTAAATATATAGTAATTTTTATTTTAATACAAATTTGTAAATAAAATCATTTTAAAAATCACAAAATTTTATACGTTAATCGAAAGGGGTAATTCATCTGGTCTCAAAATGGCTCTTACCAGACATCAAATCGTGTTTTTGTCCAATTTTAGATGCTTGGAGAGAAATATCTTGAAGGGAATGCGTATGTAAACTTTTGTATGCCTCATGTAGTATTTGGTATGAATTGGGCTTTTAGGTCATCAGATAGTTTCAAAATGTCTACTTCTTTAATATCAAGTTCATAGCTCAAATATTTAAACTAGACAAATTTAATACTCCGTACAATAGAATAAATTTTTAAAAGTCCTAAACAAATTAATAATATTAAAATCATTTTTATACTAAAATACATTATAATCTTTACTTAATTTAGTTTCAAAGTTTGTCCAGTTTGACTTGAAAAACAAATTAATAATATTAAAATCATTTTTATACTAAAATACATTATAATCTTTACTTAATTTAGTTTCAAAGTTTGTCCAATTTGACTTGAAAAAATTATCTGGATGAATACTCTAAAACGGACGGAGGTAGTAATAATTAGTAGGCCTAAACGAGAGATTTTAATTAAAATTAAAAAGTACTTTTCTGTCCACCATAGATTTTCTCAGTTACTATTCACAGGATCAAATTTAACTCGATTTCTTTGCTTATTTAAACCACTTATTTCATAAAATAAAATAATATTGTCACTTCTATTTTGTAGCTTTTTTTATTTACTTTTTTACTATATAAATTTTAGTTTTAAATTTTATCCTTACAATCAAATAAATTGAATTGAAAATAAAGTTTTTCAAAATTCGTAACGGGCAATGCAGTATTTTTTTAGTCATTTTGGTATCAAAATTTGGAGTAAATACAAATAGTATGAATGCGCATTCACATAAATCTTTCGACAGAGCAAAGGTTTAGCCATCCATGGCTCTTCACCATTGCTTCACCTCTTCGACCTTCAAATCCTTGAAGCTCGCGGCCCTCCCGTCTCTCTCCCTCTTCACGCCGCGTCCTAAAACCCCGCCTGTACGCCACTTGCTCAGAGCTCTCTCTGTTTCCGCCGCCGTAGACCAATCCACAGTCGCCGGCGCCTCCGCCAGTACCAGAGAAGAAAGTAATTGCTCCTATTTTTCCCTCCCCCTTCCTTTTTGTCAATGATTTTTTGTCTTTTACCTGACGAGAGACTGGATTTCGGCGACCTTAGCTCGGAAGCCTCACCGTTGGAAAGCTGCGATCGATTTCAAGTGGATTAGGGAGAACAAGGAGTCTGTGGCAGTGAATATTAAGAACCGAAACTCCAGCGCGAACTTGGGGCTTGTTCTAGAGCTTTACGAGCGCTTACTCAATGTTCAGAAGGTTAGGTTGAAATCGAATTGTATTCAATTTCTCTGATTAAATTAGAGCTCGTGAAAGTAATGTAGGTGGACGATTGATTGCCCTCACTGTTGTTTTAGGGTTAGTTGCTTCCATTTCCAATCGAGTTATTCTTCTTTGATCAGGGACACCTAAAAACACTCCCATAGCTCAAAGAGAAAAAACTTTTTCTTTAGAAAACTGAGAATTTTGGTGGCAAATGCCTGGTAAAAATGGAGAGAGATATATTTTACCCAACCTTAGTTGTTCTCCACAAGGTCTCGTATTCTTTGCCCTTAGGGGATATGTGATTATTTTAAGGATCATTTTCCAAAAAGATTTTTCATGTAGAAGTTATACGGAGTATTATTTTTTAAGCGTCGTGTAGGGTTTGTATTTTTTGCCAAGTATGACTAATTGTTAGTCACAGATAGCAGGAAGTTGAAAGGCTTCGTGCAGAAAGAAATGTGGTTGCAAACAAGATGAAAGGAAAACTAGAGCCTGCCGAATGCCAGAAACTCATAGAAGAAGGTTCCTATAACATTATGACCAGCTGTATTACATTTCTTGGTTGCTGTAACCTTCTCTATACTTTCGTATACTTTTTTAAGGGAAAAAGTTGAAGGATGCACTGGTTAGTCTGGAAGAAGACCTCGTGAAGCTCTCTGATGACCTTCAGCAAGAAGCCCAATGTATACCAAATATGACACATCCAGATGTTCCAGTGGGGGGAGAGGATTGTTCTACTGTCCGGCGAGTGGTGCTTTTCCAAACTACATGTTTTTTTGCATTTTTATGTACATTATTATTGTTCTTAATGCCAGTTCATCATTTTGTGAAGGTTTCTAAACCTCGTGAATTTAGCTTCCCTTTGAAGGACCATGTCCAACTTGGGAAGGAACTGGATTTGCTTGATTTTGATGCAGCTGCTGAGGTAGTTTTTATATTTCTGCAATTGTCCTAGAATTAGTTCTAACAAATTTCACAATGTAATAAGGTATAAGTTGGTAAGATGTATTTAAATGTATTGTCACCAAATGTGTGCTGAGTAAATTTAGTCTAAAAATGTACAGTATTTAGTTTCATTACATGTCATTATGGGCTACCAAACACCACCTAAGTGCATTGCTACAAGAACAAGAACTTGTGCGTTCCATTAAAGAACCAATTTTTTTTTTTTTTTGATAGGTCAGTGGGTCGAAATTTTATTACCTGAAAAATGAAGCCGTCCTGTTAGAAATGGCTCTTGTGAACTGGACTCTCTCTGAAGTTATGAAAAGAGGCTTTGTTCCTCTAACTACACCAGAAATTGTCCGGTCCTCTCTTATTGAGAAGTGTGGTTTCCAGCCCCGTGGGACTACCACTCAGGTTTGTAAATATTTAACAACAACCAGCTTTTGTTTAACAACAACAAGCTTTTTCCTATTTACTATGACTATGAAAACTACTGGACTAGTAATTGTGAAATGAATAGTTTTTTCATATGATTGAATTCGTGAAAATGCTTCTTTCTTTCTATTTTATTTTTTACAAAAATGAAAACAGGTTTACTCCATCGAGAACACTGATCAATGCCTCATTGGCACAGCAGAGATTCCAGTTGGGGGAATTCATATGGATTCCATACTTCCCAACTCATCATTACCATTGAAGTATGTGGCGTTCTCTCATTGTTTCCGCACCGAGGCTGGTGCTGCTGGCACTGCAACAAGGTAACAAATCTTTCTTTTTTAAGCAAGTCGAGTTTTTTTAGAGTTAATAACAGAGTTGGCCCCTCCACTATACCATATTTATTCATTTTGGTTGTAAACTTGATTTCCAATCAAATGTGATCCTCGAGTGTTGAATTTAGACTCACCTTAGAAGTCATGCATATTTTGCTCTGAATAAGAAGGGTATCCCTATTCGAGGCCTAAATTGGTCTAAGTTACACAGTTGAGACAAATCGAGTCCAAAAGTGGGTATAAATTTAGTGATAATAATTGCACTTCTATTTATCCATTGTAGAACAGGTTTATTTGATGTCTTTAACTTAGAGCCAATTATGCGTGAGTACTAATTTGGGATCCATATTTCATGTTCGAAGACCAAATTGAGTCCAACACAAAAGTTGAGGACCAGTTTAAGTGATATATTAGCTCTTTTATACTCCGTATTTATATCTACTATTTTGAAAAAATGGCTTCACGGGGATGTTCTTTTTTAATCCTTTGTTTTCTTTAAGGGTTTACATTTAAATATAATTGAACTACTTGAATTTTCTTGAGTTCGTTTCAATTGCATAATTTATGTTTGTTTTTTGGGGCAGGGGTCTTTATCGAGTGCACCAGTTCAGTAAGGTGGAGATGTTCATAATATGCCGGCCAGAGGAAAGCAATGCTTATCACGAAGAGCTTATTGGAATTGAAGAAGACCTCTTTGCATCTCTTGGATTTCATTTCAGGTACTTATCATTAAAAGTTCTTGGAATCTTGGAGATGGCATGTACTGTACTGTACTGCTCTCTCTCCCTCTCTATCCGTTGATCTCTCTAGTTCACAACTCTCTTTACAGAACAATGGAGATGGCATCAGAGGATTTAGGTGCACCCGCATATCGTAAATTTGATGTGGAGGCATGGATGCCTGGTCTTGGCCGCTATGGTGAGGTAAACCTATAATGTGATTGCCCCTCGCCCCTATCCGCACACCCGTGGGTAACCAATACAACCCAACCCCTATTTGTAAACTCAAAATGAAACAATACAGACATATTTACACATATTAAGACTAAGATAAGATTATTACATGCCCCCTCCGTCCCAAATTAGTTTTCCAACTTTGACTTCACAAGAAGTACGGAGTATTTTTTTTTAAATGTTGACAAGTGAAAATTACAAAATCAACCCAGACCCATGAACCCGATTGCTGCCTACCAAACATGTCTCATTACTGTCCCGGGCGGGTTGGGTACCCATAACAATCCACCTCGCTGCACTTCTCTATGTGGCCAAGTTCTGAAATGGTGATGTCATGATGATGTTGAACAGATATCCAGTGCTTCAAACTGTACAGACTACCAGAGCCGGAGACTGGGAATAAGGTATCGTCCAGATTCGTCGTCGTCGTCTGCGAAGGGGAAAAATGTGGGTCCCCCGCAGTTCGTCCACACACTAAATGCCACTGCATGCGCAGTTCCGCGCATGATTGTGTGCTTGCTCGAGAACTATCAGCAAGAAGATGGGTCTGTTGTCATTCCTGATCCCCTGCGCCCTTTCATGGGTGGTCTGCATATAATCAAACCTAGATTCAAGTAGGACTACTCGAACCATTGTTTCTGTGTTGTNCCCCCAAATATTTTTCTTGGGATATTATAGGAGAAGAAAGATTTGTATTATGGTTTTTTTATGTCCTTTGCCTGTAATTTTTTTAGAGATCTCCCGTTCTTAAATAAATGTTCGTTACGACTTTCTACATACCTTAGGAATCAAAGAAATATACTCCGTAAGAGCACAGGAAATACTCATCTTGGAGCTTTAAACTTTCTCTCTCTGTCACGTCAACTTTAACCTATCTCACACTTTCAGTAGAAATGGGTTTGAAGCCCCGAGACTTCAAACTAGGGCTTCAAACTCTGATTTTTTATATTTTAAATATACATTTTCTAAAATAAAATTAATTAAATTTTATCATTAAAAGATTTGAAATGAGAATAGTTCATTTAAAAAATTACATTCATTATAAAAATTACATTCATTAAATAAAAAATTTACATTCATGACAAAATAAATAAAATACTTGAATAATATTTTTTTAAAAAAAGATGATAGATAGAGAGATTTGTATTTGTGTTGAATTTAAAAAAAATGGATTCAATTTATAGACAAGGAAAGAGGAAAAAAGATGGGGGGAGGGGTTCCAACGCCCTCAAGCCGCGTCAAAAAACTTTAACAGAGCCATAACGGGGGAGGGGGGCGTTTACCGCCCCCCAGGCGTCTCTTAACGTGGCTGGGCTTCGTGCCCATTACCACTGCTTTAAATATAATGTATACTTCCATTCATTCAATTTTAGTTTATATAAACAGTCGATCGATAATTATTTAAAAAAATGAATGTAAGAGCTGTACAATACACATTATATATATCCAGCAAGTCAGTTCTGTTTCTTTTTGTTCAAAACAATGGACAAAAAAGCAAAGCGTAAAAGGAGGAGAAAAAAAAGAATAAAAGAAGTGCAAAAAAATCAGGTTGGTCAATGTACATTGCTGCAGAAAATGAGCCTCTAATTTGCAGTATGTACAACACAATGTGTGCTTTTTCCCTCAGGCTTTTCATGCAATAGAACAGAGCAGCTTCAATATGGAACTCTTCCCATCTCTTTTCATCTCTAGTTTTCTTCACATTTCAAAATCATCTATCGATCGATCTATCTACTCCCAGATGATATATATTTTTTCGTATAGATTCTCGTCCGATGTACACATCTTGTTCGCATGAAGCCCAAGATTCTCAAGTCAATATAATTAAGAATCCCGATACCCCCCCCCCCAACCCAAGTATGCAAGTGTGTGTGTATATATGTACCTCCAAGTTAGAGAAGAGATTACGCTGTATTTTTTTGTGTCTCGGTTATGTCACAGTGATAGGAAGGGAGTTGTTGTTTGATGTATGCATTGGCGGGTGCTTGAGACACAGGCAATCGGGTAGTGGATTCACGTAAAATGCCTCCTCGGAACGGAATCTGTCCATTCCTCTTGTCCCTGATACTGGCCCTTTTCTCTTCCTTGGCGACCCTTGCCTGATCCAACCAACCCAGCAATTATATACAAAACAACACAACAACAACAACAACAACAACCCAGTTAAATCCCACATGAGTAGGGTCTGGGGAGGGTGTGTGTACGCAGACCTTGCCCCTACTCGAAAGTAGAGAGGCTGTTTCCAAAGAGACCCCCGGCTCAACGTCGAAAGTTGCATTGCTTGACTAACTACTACTTCATTAATTAAAGAAGCGCAGATAGTTTAGAGATCCATTTTGATTTATTCCATCACACCCCAAAGCCAAAAATTGGTGAAATTTTGGCTCCATCGGAGATGATGGAAAAACAACTCATGAATTTATATCACAATACGTTCGTTTGTAGTAAGGTCCATATAAGAATACCCCTTAAAATTATACTCCATATTTAAAAAAAAAGTGTTGTTGATATAACACAAGTACACGGCAAGGTATTGAAATGCACAAGAAAATAGTCAAATGTGCCTAATGTATAGGCAGTGTTCTAACAAACATTAGGTACTAGAAGGGTTTTGGGTGGGTTGGTTGGAAAAAGAGGTAGGTTCAATTCGAGAGAGAAAAAAATATAAGTGGGCAGGGCGGGGTGGTAGGACCTAGGCAGGTATTTTTAGGTATTTTTACAAGAGAGTGTAAAGTTAAATACCCTCTACTGTCTTGTGGAATTCTGCTGGGTTTGTTATAGTTAAATAAACGAAAAGAGTTATTTAGAAAAATAAGTTTCCATAATCCTATGATATATTCTGAGCATGAACGTATGCCTTCGGTTGAGCAGATTTCATGATAAAGTACCTTCTTTTGTGGATTTCAATGACACGATCCGACAGATCACTGGCTTCTCTCAGTTTTCCCATCTGAACTTTGTCAAATAGACGGACAAGGGCTTTCCTGAAGAAATAACAGAATGCCATTCATCACCGGATATTTCTAAGAATAAGAAAAAAAAGAAAAATATTTGTGTGAGAGAGAGAGAGAGAGAGAGAGAACCAACACTTGCCTGTCAGGAGAAATGGTTTTCCTGTGCCCTAGGAAGCGACGATGACCCTCAACTGCTCTTGCCATATTTCCAGAGTAGGAAGGGATAAAAATGTCACTCTCGACCGACACAATATAGTCCAGTGCAGCCATCTGAGATGCATGATTCATGAACGGTTCAAGCTCCACAGCCGAAGCCAGCTTTTCCTTGTTCATCAATAAGGGAAAGCGCGATTGTAGATCAGCCATGCGGGAATCGCCCCCATATATTTCCCCAGCAGCAATGTATATAGGGGTTGTCGATGGAAACCCTAAAGCTGAAAGGAACATTCCAACTTCCTTTGGAGTTAAAGGGCAATAGCCTTTGGCTCTCTGTTCTTCAGGGTCAATGTCTTTCACTTTCCACCAAGTGGTGTTCTCCCTGAAAATTCAAAAAAAAAAAAGAATGATTTTATAAAATTCTTGTCTGTCTTTAAAACATTACTACCCTCTCCTTTGACTTCGTGACGGGTTTTCCTATGTTTTTACAAAAAAAATATATTTGGGACAAAAAAAGTCTTTTTTTTTTTTGAGGTATCGCATGAACACAAATTTCTGGCCTTGAAGTACATTACATGCCAACCTGATTCCCTTTAATTCCTCAGCTTCTTCTGGGGATAAATCATGAGTGCATCCACTAAACGCAAGCATGTCTTTTTCATATCTTAAATGCAAAGCAATATATGGACCATAGGACCGCATACGGTCAACCAACAACTGCATGACAATAGCAGATAACACAAATGAAAATGTGCAACATTATTAACAGTACCAATGTAGTTGAAACACGCATGACACTAAAACCCTTCGGAAAAAGAAAAACAAGAATGACAGTAGAGAGAAATGAAACCTTTCCCATTGCTTCAATCCGGGGTGAGAAACGAAGGGATTGATAACAAGCTCTGCACCTCAATTTTTGAATGTCAGGGGGGAGGTTATTGTTAGCTAGCCGCGAATCAGACTTAGCTGCCCGAATGACCTTATACTCTTTCCACAAGCTGCCAATTTCTTCTTCATAGTACTCCATGCCTGACCAACTCCTGAAATGCTTAACTGCTCTAGTTGCACTTGCCAGCTCAGTAGGTAACTTTTTTATTATTGTCACATCGTTCGCCAAAGAACTGATGAAATGGTCCTCATCAAATACATCTCGGAAATTGCTGCAATGAAGGCATACATAAGTTTTAGAGCCCTAGTTTAGTTCTTTGCTTGGGAAATCTGGGGAGGGGCAGGGTGATATTTATTGCATTAAAAAAATTGTAGCTTAGAAAAATTTACAATGAAATATATGACTTAAATAAACATATACGAGGTATTTTCTTGCATGACACCGTGACTAACCAATAGACAAAAATTAGTGAGAGAAAACTCACATTTTCCCTCCCCTTCCATCAAAAATCCCCTAACCAAGTAATCTATGAATGCCATGTTAAGGGACAGAAAAAAAACCTAGAATCCAGCCATAAAGATCGTTTATCAAGCTCTGGAATTACAAGAGTAGCATTTATGATACGGGCAACAGCAACCATATCACATATCTGCAAGCAACAAATAGTGATGATTTAGACCCAAACAGCTTGATTAAGAAAATAAAAGAGGCATCAAAGACCCAGTATAATTGAAAAGAAATAGAATAGAAAATGACAAACCCCGGCCCTCATCTGATTAAGCCCACCATTAGTATGAACCAGCAGGTACCCTTGCGGCTTTCGAGGAGCTGGAGATGAGATTATTATGAAATACAAAATCAGAAACATATTAACAGAACTTTTTTATTAACAAAAATGGCAAAGCAACAAGCTCTCATCGTGCCAGAAAAACAAGTCCTCACGCGTATACAAAGAGCTTGGGGCAACACAAGGAACATAGTTTCTATTCGGCAGAGGTCTCCATAACTTGTCCAAATTTGAACTCCGGTTTGAGCCATCGGTATGCCAAACCTAAACGAGTGAGAATACATGAAAGAACTATAAAGACTCCATAAACATGTAAATTGGTCACCAAATATTAGGTAATCTAAGATGTTGCTTGCATAAATCTTTGCAGAAAATTTAACATAACAAGAAAGAAAATATAAAACCTTGCTAGCAGGTAGGGGGACTTTGGACAGATTGGACGGGAAAATTTCTTGAGTCCAACTTCTCTCCCTGCTCAGTCTTTGGTACCCAAATTCATATAGCTACAATAGTAAACAACCCATATCAGAATCAAATCCCAATCATTCAAAAAAAAATTTAAAAAAAATTGATCTACTGAATGAGTAGATATACATGTGGCCTCAAGAAAAGCACACGTTATTGTCTATAAAGTGTTCAAATGAAATGCCCAGTCCCCAAATGTAAGATTCACATGTGACATCAAGAAAAGCACATGACAGTGAAGCAAATCGAATAATAATTCCACACACAAAAATAAAACCCCCAAAATTAATGTAGTAATCGGAATCATAATCGAAACCCATCTGGGACTTCCTGGAAAACTGAGAATAACCGACGCCTAGCTCTGTTCAAAGAGACGAAGCCCTAGAGAGATACCGATCAAAGAAACGAGAAATCAAAGCTCAGTTCCAAAGCAGAGAGAGAGAGAGAGTGAAGGAAAGTTACGGTGGGGAGCTTGGTGACTCCGGATGAGGGAAAAGTCATAACGAGAACGTGCGCGGAGAACAGGGCGACGAGGGCTATCGCGCATATGGCGCAGGTTAGCACGCGCCGCAGCAGCACCACCGTCTTCCTCCTCCTCTTCGCCATCGCCGGCGGCGGCCTGTGGAACGGCAGAGAACGCGGAGAACGAGTAACTGCCCTCCTTAAATTCCGTAGGGAATACAAGAATGGGGGGTATGCTATGTGAGTAGAACAGTAGAAAGGGTTATTAGATTCGTTCGGGATTGAAGAAATAGATTCGTCATCGTCGTCTTCCTTGGTGTGTTGAGCTGTGTATCATAGTCATGATGATGATGGATGGAGGCTTTATTGCTTCTCGGTGGTTTCTGGATGGCATTTATATACAGATTTTAAAAAAATGAAGAATAACAGAATTATTGCATCACGACAAATCATTATACTAAAAAAAAGGACCCACCCCGTCCCCGAGGCCCTCCTAACACTTGACCGGATTATCATTGAGAAAGAGTAAATTAAATATTAATGGATATTGGTGCTAAAGAATAAAGCATGTTTCTGATATCTGCGAAGACTCTATACTTAGCATAGTTGACAGCAAATAATTATACTCTCTCCTTCAGGTGGACGCTGGGCATGGAACCCGAACCCGTCTGGACTACGAGTCGTTTGAGAGGAACCGGGATAGAGCTCAAGTACTCGTTTTTTCCTGCTTTTCCTTATCAACCCGATTCAATCCAAGTTTTTTGGTGTTATGGTGCATGTTTTGTGAACCAAATAAATACTTCTATTGAACATTAATTCAACAATCTCTTTAAACTACATACATTATTATTTTTTTGTACTCCGTATTATTTAAGAAAAATTCCTAAGTTTGTTCATTTTGATTTGATCGGGAAAGAATGACCTGACTTTTTTTTTATCCAAAACTAGATTCAAAAATACTGAGTTTTGAACACACGTTTTGATGACCGAACTCAAAATGACCTGCTAAGAATGGTTCAAGCTTAAACGAATACAAACCCGACCTGACCGACCATTAATCTAAGAATTTTTCAAAATTCTATACTTTACTATGAAAAATAATGATAAAAATAATGTTATAATTATATTTTTTCTGACGGCTTGTTTTTAGTGTATACATTTATATTTTTGAATAAAATTTTAATGATATTGTATAATTATCTTACTTTTTCCAAAAATTGTATTTTTTTAATTCTTTATATTGATTTATATACCTAAAAATCACTCCAAAATTTAAAATAAAATAATTTAATAGATTTAATACATAGTTTTTGGATATTTTAAATTTATTCAATACAAAATGCAAATCTTAATATGAATTTAAAAATTTTAAATTACAACTAATTTATCTAAGAAAATACCAACCCAAGGTAAACTTGTTTAAAACTTCATTATATTGCCTTTTGGAATCAAATTTTCTTATTGAAAGGGTTTGCCTTCCGGTATGAAATGTGCTTTGACTTTAAAAAATAATAATTTAAGATTTAATAGTATAAAAAAAGATCAATGTTCCTGTGAAAATAGATTATTAGTAATTTTTTCAATTCATTTTTAAGCCTAATCGTATGTCTTGTATTTAATTTTACACATTATTTTTTGTATATTACTCCTCCCGTCTCATACATTTCTTCCAATTTACTATTAGGACATCTCAATAACTTATGTTACAATGTATACTATTATTGATAATCTGACAAAATAAAATATTATTGTCATTTCTTGTTTTATAGAATTTTTGATATATTTTTAAACAATGTAATTGCACATTTTATTTTTATATCAATTTTGTAAATAAAATCATCTCAAAATTGATAAGATTTTACACATTATTTGACTTAAAATTGTGTGTAGTGAAAGAACAAATCCAATGAGATAGAATGGGTACGTGGCATAACATGACCTTCCATTACACGTAAGCTTTGGTTCATAGGTTAAGGTCCCGTTCTGTTCAACTTATTTTTTTTTATTTTTTCTTATTCTTATTAAAATCAGATCATATCAGATCAGATCAGATCAGATCAGATCGAATCAGATCAGATCAGATCGAATCAGATCAGATTCAATCAGATCAGATCAGATCAGATCCAATCAAATTAGATCAGATCAGATCAGGAATTATTAAAATCAGATCTCATCAAAAATTACTATTATTATTACTATTATTATTATTATTATTATTATTATTATCATCATCATCATCATCATCAACATCATCATCATCATCATCATTATTATTATTATTAGTATTGTTCTTAAAAATGAAAAAGAATAAACTTTAGAAATAGGTTAAATAGAAAACTGAGAAAGTAATCCTTAATTATTAGACGTCGGAAAAATTAGTTTTGAAATATATTGACAATGTCAATCTAATTCTACTTTTAAAATATATTTTCATTGCTACTTGTAATTTAAGTTTCTAAACTTTTGATCTTTTATAAGGATGAGATATTTTATTAAAAATACTATTTCTTCTATATATTGATTATCTAAATTTAATTACTTTTTAATGTATATCTAAATTCAATATTTATTCTAATGTATAATTATAATTTTACAAAAATATAATCATAAAATAAAAAATATTATTACATTATAATATGAATGATTATTCTAATATATGACTTAACTATTTTTATTTTATTAAAAAATACTACCTCCGTCTCACTGTCTTTGTCCACTTTTGACTTTTGGAATTGTTCATCTAAGCACTTTGACTCATCAAATTCTCTCAATATGTAACCCTAAAAATAGTCATGTGTGATCTTGTTTGATTCGTCTTAACATATAGATTATTAATATATAATTTTTATAATTTTTTAATATACAAATTACAAGATAAAATGGATTAAAGAAGTGCATTGGATGGTGTGCCAAAAGGTAAGTGGACAAAGACAGTGGGACGGAGGGAGTAATCATTAAATAAAAAATATTGATTATATTATAATATGAATTATCATTACAATTTTCAAACGTTATTATAAAGTCAAATTAAATTATTGATTTGAAATTTTAAATTAAATCATAATTAATCAGATCAGACCAGATCAGATCAGATCCAATCAGATCAGATCAGATCCAATCAGATCAGATCAGATCCAATCAGATCAGATCAGATCCAATCAGATCAGACCAGATCAGATCAGATCCAATCAGATCAGATCAGATCAGATCCAATCAGATCAAATCAGATCAGATCAGAACTTATTAGAATCAGATCAGATCAGAAAAAATAAGTTGAACGGAACGGAGCCTAAATGTGATTTAGTCCATAGATTCGGAATATTTGGCATATAACATGTGTCCAACATGTACCTTTTCTTCTCATGCCACATTACCACCCTATTTACTTCATCTCTTTAAAAAAAATTCCACTATTATTGTTTGAATGATGAAGATATTTTAAATTAAATTTATTTGAAAATTGGTAAGAAAAAAAATTAAAATTTATATATTATTTTCAAAAGTTTTTAAAAAGTTTTACAAAATAAAAAGTGATATAACTGTAATATTTTTTCAAATGGAAGGCGAAAATGGGTAAAGAACGTTGTTAAAATGAAACAAGGTTCCAAGGGTCTCCCTCTATTAGATTCCTTCATTTTAATTATTAAAAAAACCATTCTAGTTAGAGTTTTGTAACTAGAGTGGCCAAGAGTCAAAACAATTCTACTGTCATCGTTCTTGATTATTTGTCTAATTTTAACTTCTTTTAGTCAATTATTTTTAACATTTTAAGTATATTAAATAAAGTATATATTATATATTAAGTAGATGTGAAGCAGTGAGGTCACTATGGCATGACCCAAGCCCAAAAAAGCAATAGAGGAAATGAGTGGCGAGAGTTCGTCCGGCCCAAATAATATTTATTGGGTCGGGTGAGAAGTGGAGATCTGGGCTTTGGACCACAGAGAGTGGATCGGGCCGCTTAACCTATCCAAACATAGAGTCCGAAAGATGCCACGCAGATTCATCCTAACAAATTTTTTTTCGTCACTGCCAAATGACAAAATGGACAAAAAAAATATTTGTATACAAGTTTGGATACAAAATAAATGAATAAATTTCAACACAAAGAAGCACTCAAATCATTAATCAAAAAACTTAAAAATACCCCTTAAAATTTTACATTCAATTAATAGTTTTTATTTTCAATTCATATTCTTGTTATTTGAAGTATTTCACATTTAATTTCTTTTATTCCAATGATAAACATTTTATTTTTAACTAAAAATTTCTTTTCATTGGGGAATTTTATCTTTTTGACGGGGGCCTTTTAGTTTTTGATGGGGGCATAATTAAAAAAATTGATGGTTGTTACTGGTAAACCTTTTACCATAGCTTGACTCAAAATACCCACCTAACCTCTTTAATTTCATTCTCTAAATTTAGTTGACTTTGAAATAAAAAATATAGTAATTTATTTACAAGCATGAAATATACGTATGATATGTTTGTTTGGAGGGAGTGGGAGGAAAGTAAGGATGGAGGGAATTGGGAACGAAATTGATAAAGTTTTATTGTTTGATTGGAATGAAAAATGGCCAAAGTATATTTGCATGTGGCCCAACAAATTACAATGGCGTGTGGGCCAGTTTATAACCCATGTAATTGAGCAACTAAATACTCGATATTGGTTGGCCCAATATATTTACCAATGGGCTGGCCTGAAAGGCCAGTAGAACAGGTTGCATAGTCTGGCGAAAAAACCCAGTGTTTAAATGGGTCAATGGCTAATTAGCGATTTCAGGTTTTCAGTATATCGCATTGGGCTTGGCCCATTTAAATGGCAAGAGAAAATAACACACGGAGGGAATAATATGCAAGTAATGCAACACATATTGATCTAATTGAGGTTCAAATTTTGTGCAATTTAACTTTTAAAAAAAACAACAAATAAAAATAATTTTGGAATAGAGGGAGTAAATATTTGGCCATGGAATTACTTATTAAACAAAATAATATGAGTATCTGATATAATTTTGTTTCTTATTGTTTAGATTATTTCTTTTAACAAAGTATAAAAATTTTAAAATGTGTACTGAATATCTTAAAATTTTACAACAATTTTCATATATGAATCAAATTAAGAATAAATAAATCATCCTAAATCGCAAGGGAAAATAAAACTTCATAGATATATACACAAAAAGAACTTTTAACCAAATAACACTCCATAAATGTACAAAAAGAAATTAAACAATAATAGCACAACATAATAGGGTAGCAAATGCAATGGAATAATTTGAAAAGAAATGAAAGTACATAAAGAGAATAAGAAGAAGAAGCAAATGCACTGCCTCTATCCTGGCTCACACAAATAAATACTAACAAAAATGCTAGAAACTTAGTATTACAATGGACAGTGCGGACATGACAATCGTCTGTAAAGTTATACCCAAACAGACGATAATCGTCCAGAAACTTTGTATGTGTATAGACGATTATCGTTTGTGTGTGTACAAATTCACAGACAATTGTGATCCGTAAAGTCAAGAATAATTATTCCCTCCATTTCATAATAAATGTATATTATGATTTATCAGATATATTAGATTTTGAATGAACATAGACGTATTTATGTCTATAATCATTCCAAATGTAATGTACGTAATAATTTTTAATATAGACATTTATTCTGGAATTGAGGGATTAGTTTCTAGCATGACTCACTAACGGAACCCAATTATATCATTACCGCCGCCAATAATAACGACGCTAACGGCAGGGAAACGGCGACAGCCGATGAAGAAGAAGGCGATTTCTTACTGGGAGTCGTCGTAGACGGCGGAGCAGGGGGGGCGCCAGAGGCCGCGGGGGTGGCGCCAGAGGCGGCAGGGGAAGACGGAGTGGTGGCGGAGGAGGAGGAGGATGAACCGGAATCCCTGACAACGTTGACCTCGAGCTTCATCCCCTGGCCGCAGTGGCCCGTGGAAGAGCATATGAAGAAGTGCTTTCCGGCGGTCTTGAGCTGGACGGTGGTGGCGCCGCTGCTGTCGGAGCTGATCGAATTCGCGGCGGCGCAGGATTTGTAGTCGCTCTCGCTCACTTCGTCCACCGTGTGCCCGCCCCCTTGGTAATTGAACACTATAAATTGAACACTGAAAATTAGTTCGTCGGTATATCCTAATTAGACCTGCCAAAGTTCGGGCTATTTCTAATTCGGGTCATTCAGGCTATTTTTGATTCGGGTCAATTTAGATTTTAATTAAGAACTGTATGTTCATAACCTCGTTTTATCAGGTTCGGGTCGACCCAACGGATTATGACTTTGATTTTTTAAAATTTTAAATTAATATTAATACTTACATTTTCAATTAAATAAATTTAAAATATCAAAAAAATATACTAAATTTATGAAATTATTTTATCCCAAACTTTGAAGTAATTTTTCAGATATATAAATCAATATAAGAAATTTAAAAATGCTTAAGTTTTGGAAAAAAGTAAGATAATTATGCAATATCATTAAAATGTTGTCTGAAAATATAAATTTATACACTAAAACGAGTAGTATAGTGTATGATTTTGAAAAATTCTTACTTTAGCAGGTCGGTCAGGTTGGGATCCGGTTCGGTCGGGTTTGACCCATTTTTAGCGGATCATTTCGGATTCGGTTACCAAAACTTTTGTTCAAAACCAGTGTTTTTAGGTCAAGTTTCGGGTAAAAAACAGGTCGGGTTTCGGGTAAAAAATAAGTTCGGTCATTTTTTGTCAGGCTTAATCCTAATACCTAAAATAATTGGGGGCCATTCTCACGTCATTGCTAAGCAATATAATGAAATGACTCGAAGACCGTATGATGTTCTGTTTATAAAATTGACGATTCCTACTTTCGGTAAACCTGCCACCTGCCCCGCCCCTTGGGGGATGCAATTATAAGGGTGGGGCGATTGGTTCGGGATGAGGCGAGGGAGAGTTTGAGAGAGATTGGCCATGAATTTTTTTTTTTCTCTCGCCACAATGCTGTAATAGTATAGAAAAAGTTTTTATATTCTAAGACGACTTACCGAGAGAATCGCCAACTTTGAAAGTTTTGTCACTAGCCCAGGTTGCATAATCGCCGCCGAGTCCCCAGCCGGCGGAGTCGCCGACGGTGTAGGTCTTACACAAAGTGGGCACGACCTTACACGATAATAAAACACTCCCAATGAGAAGTGCCGCCATGAAACTCACACTAGAAGAAGACATTGCCATTCTCTTAAATTTTTATGCGTCTTGGGAGCACGAAGAGAGAATGAGGGGTCTTAATATAACTTATAGACAAGCTAAGCTAAGCTAAGGAATAAGGGGATGGTGGTGATAATGGAGAGTGGTTGGTACCTGATTTGATCACATAGCTTCTATGATGTGGCATGTGGCATGTGCCTCTTGCTTGTTTCTTAAACTACTCAATGCCCAATGGTCAATTAAGTTGTGAAAAGAAAATTTAAATTTTATCATTAGTGTTTCAACTTGTAGATTCATACATATTTAGTATTTATTTTAATTTTGAACAAAGCACAAAAATATATTAACTCCAAAGACCAGTTTCCAGTACAACAAAAACGAAACACACAATAACAAGAACCAACACCTAACACCAGCATACAACGTGAAAACATAGACTAGTTACCCATAATAATATTGAAGTGTTCTTTGATAGTCTTCAGCGTGTCNTGCCCTCCTGTCTCTTCTGTTTCTTCCCTTATTCATTCTCTGTCCTAGCTCAGCAATGGAATTAGCTTCCATGTCATACTGGATAATCATAGACATATGCTGGAAAATATACTTTGCAAAAGGACAGCTGCAAAATAGATGGTCAGCAGTCTCATCCATCTTGTTGCATAGGCTACAGATTGTATCAATTGGTAAAAACCTACTTAGCCTGTCCTTAGTAAGTATTCTACCCTTCCAAATCAGCCATGCTATAAATTGATGTTTAGGTATGGAGAATCTATTCCAAACCAGATCAGTCCAAATCACATTAGTTTGGGATCCAGTAAGCCATTTGTATCCTTCCTTGACGGTATACCCCTGGTCTATGATCATTCCATCAAAATCTTTTCTGATCTGGATCATTTTCTTCCAATAATAACAGTCATCAGGCTTACATTCATAAGTCCAAATAGTTTTCCTCTTCAGATATCGACTATGTACCCATTTAACCCACAAAATATCTTTCTTGGATGCTATGTCCCAAACCAACTTCATAACGCAAGCTTTATTCCATACCTGAAGGTTCTTCAACCCCAATCCCCCTTCTTGCTTAGGACTGCAGACCTCCTCCCAGTTTATCAGAGGGGATCTCTTATAGCTTGCTGTGGAACTCCAAAGAAAGTTTCTGCAAACAGCCATAACCTTCTGCATTACCTTGCAAGGCAGAATAAAAAACCTACACCAAAAGGTATTTTAATTTTGAAAAGTTCACAAATACTCCCTTCGTCCTATAATGATCTTCCCGGTTCGCAAAACGAAAAAAAATCCCAAATTTTTTCAATCTATTTTATTTAAATATTGGTATAGAAATAAAAAATAAAACACACATATTTAAAAAGTACACCAAAAGTTTAACAAAACAAGTGGTGACAAGAATATTTTATTTTATCATATAGGTCATGAAAAAACACAAATAAATATAAATTCCCGTGAAGTTGGAATAGTGCTCTGGGAAGATCATTATAGGACGGAGGGAGTAATTCTTTAAGTCACATCAGCGTTCCATTGTTGGTCGTTTTTTCGATAAATTTTCTGTTGCCTAAAAGTTTTTTTTCCATTTTTTATTGTAAATACATGTGAGAAACCATTTTTTCATACAATTGAGTATACTAACCCTGGAGTCCTGACGCGAAAGAGAAACGGTGAAATTTAGTCTGAAAAAATGTTTAGGGTCGATTTCAAGTTGTAACGATATTATGTAATATAAGGCACTTGTACGTATCAAGCTAAGGTTTATACATCTGATTCTCGACAAAACAAGCATTAGTTAAAGAGATCATTTGATAAAAAGATTGGAATAAGTCAATAATGATTCTTATTATGTGATCATAAAACCACCATAGATCACCCAAGAAAGCAAGAGGCTTTTGGTGGGTTGGTTGGATCTAACTGCTCCTGTTCTTTCTCACCAAAAAAAAAGAAAGAAAGAAGATTAGTTAGAGAAAATAACATTCCAACTGCCATTAATAATGTGATGTAGTTGTGATCATGAAGAGCAGGTGGAATATATATATGTGGAGTGCGTATGATCATAACAACTTTGATCTCGACAGCTTTGAGCATGCTAAAAAAGAGTGATTCTGTAAATTATTTTTTTTGCTTAAAACAACAATTAAAATTATAGTAATTCACATATAAAATTATAATATTATATTTAAATATGGTTACATCTAACTTAAAAAATAACTCTTTTCGTATAAGTATGTTTGTCCAGTTTAACTTTTTTCGAGTGGATGAAAAATTACATTCCAACTTCCAAAAATTTGGTCTGTCCCCCCCCCCTACCCATAATATCAAGTTATTTTGGAAGTGTTTGGTAAAGAGAACAATTTTGATATGACACAAGTTCTAAAATACGTATAGCAAGGATTTAAAAATGCACTCTCGTCTCTCTCCATTTCAATTTAAAACGCATGTTTCGGTTGTCGATATTTGATTGAAATTAATTTCAAATGATTTTATATAAAAAAGGGTAGAATCAAAAAATAAAAATTACATATTTTAAAAAAATTAGATCGAAAGATCTATAAAATTAGTGGTGACATGACTGTATTATTTTATTAATTAACTAATGAAAATAAAGAAAGAAAATGAATAAAATTTGATCTTGTAAATTGTAAAATGCAATTTATTTTGGGACAAAGGTAATACATTGTATGTCCAACAAAAGAATACACCCTAACCCTAACTCATACTCCGTATATATTGGTTAGAAAATTCTTCCCACTATCTACTTTTAGATACTCAAAAAATTATAGTATTTCACGTTTTATTTTTTTCAAATTTTATATATGATCTCAAAATCAAAGTAGAATAATGAATATCCATTTCACTTGATTTCTCTTTTAACAAATGAATTTTAACTATATATTACAATTATTCCAATATTGTTTTAAATATCATAAGTTGAGTAATGTTCTTTTGGGTTAAATGAAAAAAAAAGGGACTACTCTTTATTTGAATACATTTGGGCCGCTTGTTGTTTAAGTTTATAATTGGATTCAAGCCCAGACCTAGTTCTTTCCGCTAAAACCCTGAAAGATCAGACCATTTATCAAAGAGTATATAACCTTCTCTTTGCCTCTCGCCGGCGTCCCATTACAGAGCTCACCGTCCTTCCACCGCAGGTACTCCATTCTCTAAGCTCAGATCTTTCTTCTTCGCCGCTTCTACTTCCATTTTTAGCGAATCGAACACCTTTTTCAGTTTTACCGATATGTATCTGAATTTCCGGATCAGTATTTTATCATTATTTTTAGTCTCGCTTAATCATTTGATCGAACTTTTGCTCTATTTAACAATTTTTCGATGAGATTAGAGTGGAATTGTTCTAAACGAAGCCAACGCGCAGATGATTGTATTGTTTCGAAATTAATGAATACTCCGTATATGCAAATTGCTGCTATTTGTATAGGTGCTGGAATTACACAATTCAATTTTAATATTAAATTTATTCAGACACACACATATAATGTAAATGTAGTAATTTATATCGATGCAATCATGAATTTTTATTTGCAATATATGGTCATTCAAGTTCTATTGTTAAATGCATGAAAAATTGTTTGAAAAAGAACAAATTTGTGGCATCGTGTCATTTTTCATAAATTCTGAAATACTTTGGGTGTCTAAAAATGAGAACTTCAGTATATCATTATGTGTCCCTCTGATATAAGTTTAATATTTGCCAGAGATAACAGGGATTTTTGGTCCTATATTTGCCGGTCGCCACCATGGGTCGTATGCACAGCAAGGGGTATGTTAAATCCACTCGTTGGTCTTTACTGTTTTTATTCAATTGCACAAAGGAATGTTTGATCATAGGTCTATAAATCACTTGATTTGCTTTGAATTTCAGCAAGGGCATGTCCGCTTCGGCTCCGCCGTACAAGAGGACTCCTCCCAGTTGGCTCAAGATCTCATCTCAAGAAGTGAGTTTTTAAGCGAAAGACTTTTTTTTTGTTCGTTGATGTGCAGTCGGAATAATATGTTGGAATGGACTAATTGTTTATTTTTTAAATAAATTAATTTATGCAGGTGGAAGATAGTATCTGCAAGTTTGCAAAGAGAGGTATGACTCCTTCTCAGATTGGTGTAATATTGCGTGATTCCCATGGAATTGCTCAGGTGAAGAGTGTCACTGGCAGCAAGATTCTCCGCATCCTCAAGGGACATGGTATTTTTTTCTATCTTTTCCAATAGCTTGCTTTGCTATTTTTTATGGTATAATTTGGTGTTGCATTTGTAGTTCTGGCACAAAATTTATTACTGCATTTTAAAATTTTCTTTCTGAAAAGACCAAAAATCGTACTCAGAATGATTGTATTCAAATTGATGCAATATAGGGAGTTCTATTTTAGAGACTGATAAACTATGTTTTCCATCCTAGGTAGTTGATATAGAGTATGCATTATTAAAACAATGTAATTAACTTTCGTACATATGATTTGAGGTTAAATGATAATCTAATTACTTAAAATTCAGTGATTATATTTACGAATGCTCTTAAAACAATAGTATTACATTAACATAGCAGAATACCTCATCATTTTCTATTGCATTTGTTGTCCAAGCTAGGATTTCCAACCGCATGTAAAAATCCCACACAGGCTCCAAACCAAGTATTTTTAACTAGCTTTACAAGCATTTGTTCAATAACAAAACTTGATATCGGCTTCATGCTTGAATAAGCATTCATTAAAAAGCAGAGTTTCACTCATATTTGTTGTTTTATCACTTACCACAAGCCTAAAACTGAGATTTGTTTGGGTGTAGGTCTTGCCCCTGAGATCCCTGAAGATCTTTACCATTTGATCAAGAAGGCAGTTGCGATCAGGAAGCACTTGGAGAGGAACAGGAAGGACAAGGACTCCAAGTTCCGCCTGATTTTAGTGGAGAGTAGGATTCATCGTCTTGCTCGTTACTACAAGAAGACCAAGAAGCTCCCTCCCGTGTGGAAGTACGAGTCCACCACAGCCAGCACCCTTGTGGCTTAAGGCTCTCCTCATTTAACGCCGCAATGGATTAGTTTCTGAATATTAATCAAAGATTCTCCGTTTTGTTGTCGAACCCAGTTTTGTCATCTTGATACAATTTTTGTTTGGCAATTATCATGGAAATGTGACTTCCAGGTGTGTAATTCTTCCTTTTTTTGGTGATTTTCATGAACCGTAGCTGATCTTCTATTCACTCTCAACCCGTGATTTGCGATGCATGATTTTTTATATGCCTCTGGTCTTAACATTTGGCCTTTTTTGCTTGATTTTTAAGATGCTTCAATCTCTATTAGAATTTATAAAATCTTTAATGCAAAGAGGTTACAACAATTTGTTAAGTTTTCATACGAGTAAAGACAGATGAAGTGATTAAAAATTGAGTGGTTCATTTCATATCTGTAAAAACTATAAAAAGAATACGGAGTAAGTAGAAAGCTTAAATTGAGACAAAGGAAATACAATTTTTTGTCAAAGTCAAAATAGGAAAAACATATGTGACTGAGCGAGTAATGAAGTAGAGAATACTGACTACTGAGTAATAAATAAATTGGTGTGACAAAGTAAAGAGTAATTTACCTAAATAGGAGTAAAACATAATGACTTTCTCAATATAGGATCATATGTTTTTATTTCTCAATGTAGGACCTTTGGTCATTATGAAGTAGTTATTATTCAAGTAAATTTCCATTATTACTGGACATTATTCCTCTCACTAAGACATTAATAAGTTCTATTTAGGGAATAAAAAAGTTTAAGTCCTACATTAGAAAAGTCATTATGTTTTAGTCCTATTTAGTACTCCCTCCGTCCTAAAATTAACTTTTCATTTGACTTTTCACGGTCTCCAATGCGACACTTTGACCATCAATATCTCAATTTTTATATAAATATATTTTATAAAAATTATATATTTCAAAACTATATTCCAAAATAAATCTATTTCTAATAAATTTATATGAAATTTCAATGTATTTTTTTCTTAATCAACGGTCAAAGTTTAAAAAGTTTGACTGCAAAAGTCAAATTGAGAAATTAATTTTAGGAGGGAGGGACTACAAATTTCACCAAAAAATAAATGGAAAAGTAACGTTTTTATCAAAGTATCAAACTCAATTAGTTTTAGAAAATTTCTATTCTGGCGGCAGGTCTATAAGGAGTATTTTATCTACCCCCGGCCGGAGCTTGGTGGCGCGCCAACTCCACCAACGACTGCACGCCCTCTTCGACCGTCTCTTCCACTTCTTCCACCTTGTCTATTATTTCTCCTAACGCCTCCGCGTCCTTATCGGCTTTCTCAGCCGCCCGTTCCACTACTCCCACCGCATCTTTCAATTTCCCGGCGGGGAGCTTGCCGCCGATTTCTTCGGCCGCCTTGTCCACCACCTCTGCCACCTTTTCCACGCCGTGGACCACTTCTTCCACCTCACTTATAGCATCTGTATGTACGTATATGCATTAAAAAAAAGAAAATGAGAAATAAATCAAATATGTCGGAAAGATAATTAATAATTTCAAATTAGTTTAAGAAACCCAAAAAAAAGAAACATACTTTTGATTTGCATAAACGACCCTAATTTGTGACGGAAAAATGGAATAACGGCTGATATCAAAATCCCAATCAGCCATCCCTTTCTGCAAATTGAATAACCGCGCCCATAAGTAGATAAAAATAGCTTCACTCATCCTCAAACTTAATTAAAAGAGTGAACCGTAAATATTTTTTTTTTCATTTGACTTTTAACGATTTTTAATTCAGTACTTTCACCATCAATGTATCTATTTATATATAAATATATACTATAAAAAAATAATTTTTTAAAAATATATGTTTTAAAATAAATCTTTTGATATTAATTTGTTCTAGCTATAATTCTAAAATTTATCTGTACTTTGTGTTTAAAATTTAAAAGCTTAACCACGAATATCAGACTTAGAAAGAAACTTATGGACAGAGAGACTAACATGTTATTGTAGGGTTTTTTTTGAAATATAGTGCCTCTCCGGATTGTTTTTTCCTCAACTTTTTAGGTTTCCTAATTTAATACTTTGACCATTAATATTCTTATTTATACATTGATATATTTTATGAAAATTTGATATTTCAGAACTATCTCAAAAGAAATCTATGGATGTATATTACATTTATACAAGAAAACAATACTTTTTTCAATAGATTGCAGTTAAAATTTACAAACTTTGATCAAGAAAAATTAAAATTACAAATTATATATACGACTTTAAGTAATACTCCGTAAAAAGTTAATTAAAGTTTAACCGCCTTATTATTACTTAATTATATTACTCCATAGATGATGATTATATATGTGTGAGAATATACGGAGTATCAAAGTGGACTTACAGTGGATTATATGTATCTGGGGAGGAAGCAGAAGGCGGCAATGGAATTCCTGCAGGATCAATGCCGCCGCTCAAGCAGGCTACAATAATACCCCTGCAAGTCTTGTTTCTACGCACAATTAATTAATTAATTAATTAATACTTGGTATACTTTTTAGTACAAGTGATCATTAATTACGGAGTATAATAGGTTTAGCTCGTAGTATTTTGGGCCTGATTTTAATCCCACTTTAAGCTTGTAGTATATCAATTTGTAATTAACGAAACGTAAAACAATTTATGCCAAAATTCAAGATGGTATTGGAGTCAGTTTAGCTACTTCATTTGTTAAGATGTCGTTCTAGACATTCATTCCTAGCAACCTTTGTCTTTAATTGACTAGTCGTCCGTGTGGAATGTAAATGCAACAGCATGTGGCTCATTTTACCCGGTTGCTCGTTTGAAAGTCCATTCCTAGAGACTCATAATACCTTACGTGTTGGTGCTTAAAAAAATATCAGGAGGATGAGAATTAATTTGCAAGTGGTCAAACCGGTTAGATTCAAAATGGTTCACTTGCCCACCCGAGGTGGAGTGTTAGAGTAATGTATCCCGCATTTGAAAAGTAAGAAGAAAAATAATCATTATATAAGATCTTGAGTTGAATTAAGCAATCGATTGAATTCAATTCTACCCCCAGATTATTATTTGGTAAAATAACACATTCATGAGATATGTTTGGTAGGAAGTAGAACTTTTAGTAATATTTTTAAATACTCTAAATAACTCAATTTATTTAAACACTCAAAAAAAACAACCAACTTAAAATGGGACGAAAGTCGTCGGAACGACACGAGTAATATATGTACCTTTTGGCATAACTAGTAGTGTACCAATTTTCGCCATTTTTGAGGAGGGAGGAAGAAGATAAAGAGTTGCAATGATGATGATGATGAAGAGGACGACGACGACGAAGATAAGCTCCCGGACGAAGACGATGATGTTCTTGGAAGATGATGATGTTCTTTGAGGTTGTTGGTGACCCAGAACTAGGGTTTCTCCCTGAACAGAAACCTGCAGAAGAATTAGGGCCTTGGAAACCAATTGAGGACGATAATGATGAAGCTGCCATTGTTAAATCTGGCAAATGAATGAAGTGGATGATTATGGTGTGTTTTTCTCTTTTATTTTGAAAAAAAAAATATTCCCAGCTGGGAAATGGATGAAAGATTATGTCAGCAATGTACAGAAAGGAGGAAATATTTTTTATGCTATTATTAACGATTCTTCAAGAATTGAAATTAAATACGGAGTATATATATACACGAGGAAGAAAATTATTTGGAATGGTATATACATATACTCCCTCCGTCCCAAAAAGATTTACACCTTTCAAAAAAATTGCGTCCCACAATGTCCTACTCATTTCTATTAAAAAACTACTTTTACCCCTTACTTTTTCAAACCCTACATATCACATTATACCTTTTTTCTTATAATCTACACATCACATCCTACTTTTACACCGTAAATCAAGGTTATTTTTGGAAAGTCAACACAAAATTATCTCTCCCTTAATTTCCATTTTAGTCAAAATGTGTAAAACTTTTTGGGATAGGGGAAGTATATAAATATATGTACATAAAGCCATGCGTTTTTTTTGACTTTTCCTACTCATGCTAATTAATTAATCAAGCTTATAATACAAAGTCTAGATTAAACACGGAGAATTTCATTTTAATAGTTTTTGGGCCTGTTTGGGAACAGTGTTAGAGATTAGCGTTGGATAAAATTTTAACGGTACAGATTACTTTGAAAACGCTAACGCTAAACGCTGCCCGTAGATAGTTTTTTCAAAACGCTAACGCTAATCGCCAACGCTATTCCCAAACAGGCCCTTTGACTTGGTACACCATCCGTATAAAAATCTTCTCTTTTTTTGGTTCACTTTAGTTTGTAGTGAATTTAGTACAACACTTAAATGTTTCTGTACTAACATACAGTAATAATATACATTTAAATAATTAAAAATTAAATTTCTTCCAATTTCATTCTGAAAAATCAATTTGAATAAACATATTGAATGAATGTAATTTATAAAAGTGAAACAAGAAAAATGAAAGGTAAAAATGGGGCGACAAATGGTCAAATGGACAAAGTCGTCACGAAAATTGGGGCGCGTGTTTCAAGCAACGCTGAAAAATCCCTTCAAAGGGAGAACGAAGGTTCTTCCCATATTCTCTTGTTAGGTCTTACACTTAAAAAGTCTTTATAATTGAACAAATTTTCCATTAAAGAAAGTAAATATTGACTTCGATTTCACCTATTATATACTCTTTCCGTCCCGCAAAACATTTCTGATTTGATTTTTAAAGGAATTAAGATGAGGGTATTTTGAAGTTAATTTTCCAAAAATATCTTTAGATGTGATGATAAAAATAAGATATGATAGATTGATTATTAATAAAAAATGTGATGTGATACGTACGTTAATACTCGCTCCGTCCCCCTAAGATGTTCTCATTTTGACTTTTGGTGGTTTTTAAGGAGAGTTGAAAAAAGGTGAAAGATTACCATAATACCCTTAATGAAAATGGGTGGAGTGTATTAAATGAGGTGGGTGAGGTGTAATAAATAAAGTAAGTGAGGGTAGTTGTGGTATTTTGATTGTTAAAAAATGAAATGAGATCTATTGTGGACTAAGAAAAAGAGCTATTGGGAAGATCTATGAGGGACGGAAGGAGTAATTGGTAAGAGTAAAATTGACTTTTCAATAAAAATAAAAAAGATTTTTGGACCGATAAAAAGGAAGAAGAAAATTTTTATAAGATATAGAGAATAGTATTGTTCAATGTCGCCGCCATAGTCACGGCGACCCGGCCACCCATGTGCGGCGGAATGGCTGAAAAGCCGGGGTTGAATTGGTTTAAACCTATCCGTGCATGTCTAGTCAAAATCACTCGCATAATCGCATTGACTGTTTTTTTAAATATTAATAGGGACCTCCGGGATTCTAGAATTGAAGAAAATGTGTATTTTCCCAAAATATATTTTTGGTTACGTTGTGATGATATGATATTTAATAATGACAAAATAGAAATCATAAAACGTAAAATCAAAATATATTACCATACATTTTAAGCATCATTACGATACATATATAGAGGAGGTTATCTTTTCAATACCCATTTTTCTTTGTTCACAATAGATCTTCTCATTTCATTTTTTAACAATTAAAATACCATAACTACCACCACTTACTTTATTTATTACAACTCACCCAATTCATTTAATACATTCCACCCATATTTCATTAAAGGTATTATGGTAAACTTTTACCTTTTTTTCAACTCTCCTTAAAAACTACCAAAAGTCAAAATGAGAACATCTAAGAAGGACGGAGGAAGTATTAATATACCTGATAAATATTAATGATCAAAATATTACATTAAAAATAATGAAAAATCAAATAAAAATCTTATTCAGGGATGAAGTGAAGACATCTTCTTTTAATGTAATGAATCGTTGAATAAAATAAAGAACTTTTTATTTTCTGGTTGCAGGTCGATCTATAAGTTATATACCACCGGCCGGAGCTCGGCGGTGCGCCAATTCCACCAACGACTCCACCCTGTCTTCCACCGTCTCTTCCATTTCTTCCACCTTGTCTATTAATTCTCCTAACACTTCCGCTTCCTTATCGGCAATCTCGGCCGCACGTTCCAATAACACCACCGCATCTTTCAGTTTTCCGGCGGGGAGGTTCCCGCCGATTTCTTCGGCCACCTTGTCCACCACCTCTGCCATCTTTTCCACACTGTGGACCATTTCTTCCACTTCATTTATAGTATCTGTATGTACGCACATTATCCATTCAACAAAGAAGATAATTATAGCAATAATAATAATAATAATAATAATAATAATAATAATAATAATAATAATAATAATTACAAAATTTCAAAGAAAAATCTATCAAACAAAATAATATAATACTCTATCTGTCCTATAAAACTCTTCCTGTTTAAAAAAAAGATACACCTTTAAAATGAGTAATTTTGATATTTTTTTCTAATTTTGCTCATATTTTATACGGGGTAATAGGGTAATATGAGATGTACGTGTAAGATAGACGAGTCATAATTAAAAAATTACACTAAAGTTACTCATTTTAAAGGCACGTTTTTTCAAACATGAAGCGTTTAATGGGACAGAGGGAGTAGTCATATTACTCCGTACTCAGTACAAAATTAATTTAAGAAGTCTAATTGTCAATGAACCAACTCGATCAACCAAAAGATCAAGCTTCTGGAATGTTTCTCATATTCTAACACTAACAAAAACTAGAGCTAGCTGCTAGCTTAGGTGTAAAATTAATTATAATAATGAAATCTTACTTTTGATTTGCATTAACGACCCTAATTTGTGACGGAAAAATGGTAAAACGGCTGATATCAGAACCCCAATCAGCCATCCCTTTCTGCAACAAAAAAAATTGTTTAAAGAGTAGAATGTCACATTTTACGGGACACGTCCCGAGGATTTGAAGGTCTTGAACAAGAAGAAAAAAATGGGTCTTGTTCATAATAAATTCAATTATATATTTTTTAAAACAAGTATTAATATTATAATTATACACATAACAAAATTATAGTACTATAAATAATTAAATATCATAATAGCAACTTTAAAAAAAATAAGTTTTTAAACATGTGAGGACAAGCATGAGTATGCTTACAGTGGATCCGAATCTGGCAATGCGCGGGATCAATGGCACTCAAGCAGGCAACAAAACCTCTGCAAGTTTTATTCCAACAATTAATAACTTATTAATGATTACATTTTGAAACAATATAATTACTCCTCTCCGATCCCCAAATTAAATAATTGAATGACCTTAGCTTGTTTAGAACAGAGAAATTTGTTGTTAGGCACTTAATTTTTTTTTCTTTTTAAAGAATTAAAGACTGTATACCGAGTATAATATATTTTGGGATGGAAAAAAAGAAAGGAATTGAAGTGTGTACGTAATGATTCATAGTATTGTACTTCGTATTATACTTAGAGGAACCAAAGTGAGTATTAACTCAAAGATATATTCCCTTCGTCCCACTATTTTAATTTGGGTCGTGAGAAAGTGACACCAAGATCAAAATGCAAATCTATCTACTATATATATAAAAGCCCATGAGAAATTTTTGCCAATTTCATTCCTGATTTTCCCGCCATAATTATGCATCCAATGGATGAGAATAGTTTGCTACACGTGGCATCATCTTATGAGATCTCTATCTATAAAGACATACAATCAGTTCTGTACAAAAGATTATTATCCCCACATCAAGAATTCCAGTACATGCTATCTCCAAAGAGTCAGTCCAAGCCAAGTAGTTCACTGATCAAATGACAAAAGAACTGCAAGAGCAATGGATATCACGCATGGATATGTGAAGCAGTGAAAAATTTCTTTAGGCTCAGAATTATTTCCATTGATACACATGGATATGTGATTGCCATGGCTGCAAACCGATTGTAATCTAAATGTTGCCTCGCCAAGATACGAATCACAAATTCGACATATTTAAAATCCGTTTATAATTTCTATATAAAAAAAAGAACTATCGTTGAGGCTTGAATTATTTTCCATTGCTAACTAAACGATATGATTGTAATGGCTGCAACAATGATCTCAAAGTTCGAGGTTGCCTCGCCAAGATACGAATCATTTCGTTAAATCTTTGTTATTAGCATTGGAAGATACACAGAGATATCGTCACAGCCTCTTTAGAGATACATTATTTTCCTTTTCAATTTTGAAATCGACTGCGGCTAAAAAGAGGCTCAGACTTTTCAAATTTATTTACTCATCACAATGGAAAGGATGCAAAAACGCCATGGCTGCTTCGGTATCCACCAAGCCACGCCAAGATACGTTTTATTTCCTTAATTTCACATTTAAGAGAAACTTATAAAAATTGCATCACAACCTCTGTTTACTGAAAGTATTGCACCTGCAAATGTGTAATATACCACAGCTGCAAAGGAAAGATAAATCACATAATTACGAGACATACAGTGAACATGGTCATTGTACTACACTGCAAATACCCATTACAGGAGCTAAAGACCAACAAAGTGAGTACTAAGAAGGGAAACCAGCATATATTATGCCATTCAAGTCATAGTACTCAGACCAACAAAGTCAGTCCTAAGAACCCAACACATTCCATTGTCAGTATAAATACCACTCCACTGCATAACACTACACACCCTTCCCCAAAATTCCTTCAATACACTGATTTATTAACAATTAGCCTTATACTTTTCTAAAATGCCTGCCCTTTAGACGAGATTGATGGATTTAAAACCATCTACTTTTCGTGCCTATCTTAAATTAAGATTACTTCGTTCTTACGACTTGATATCCTACAGAAATGCCGGAGAAGTTGCCGGAGAAGTTTATGCACGGGAGTGTATTTTTCACGACAATGAGGTACTTTTTTTCAAAACTATTTTAGCTAGCCACTTTTCAAATTGATATTAATTATTTGATAAAAAATTTCAGGGGAACCACATTCTTGGAGTCTATCAAAAGGAGGAAATAGCATTGTTTTGATCAACGCTAAAAGAGGGGAATTTATATCGAATAAGTAATCCGGCAGTTCTATCAAACAACAGGCCTCACATTGTTTCAAGCAAATTTAAGCTATCACTTGGTAAGAGGAGTACTGTTACCGAGATGTTTGATGAACAATTCCCCAAGCATTTTTTCAATTTCAAACCATTTGGGGAGATAAATGCTTTGAAAAATATTGAAAATGTTCCAATGTTTGGTAATTACTTTACTCATTTTTCATACTTAAATTCCTTGAGATCATTAGTCTATTTTAAAAATCTTAATACGATTTAATATTTTTACTTGAACAGATGTAATAGGCGCAATGTTTGTTAATGACCCTCCAATCACCAAACCAGTTATGGGAAAAGAAACCCTAATTATGGAGATTATATTAGAGGATTTAGAGTAAGTACATCATATCAGTCATTATCCCTTATTATAATATGTATATTATACGAATATAATTGTGTATTACACTATAAATGGTTATAGGGGGACAAGAATTGCATGCACTTTGTGGGGCAGATATGCTTCAAATCTCATGAAATTTGTGGAAAAATTGCCAAAGCAACCCGTCATAGCAGTAATCCAGTTTTGCAAAGCAGGGATATATAATGGTAAAGGGTTTCTTTAAAATATAATTTAAAACAAAACAATACTGCTTCTAAATTTTTTCAATTTTTCAAAATAGAAAAATATTCCAAATATATGGAAATTTAATACTTTTTATATTAAAAGAGTAATTCTGTGTATTTACTTGGAATTCTGAAAATTTTACTATGCAAATTTCATTCATGCACCTCAAAATTCAATTAGACTCCAAATATAAATACCCTTCCTTTCTTACACACTTCACCACCTCATAAAGCCTATATTAGTTTTAAATACCTCATTGCCCATTCATAGAACAGCTCTATCAGTTTTCATAATATGCCGGCTCTTTAAGTCTCCTACATCTCTATTCCATAATACTCTACACATATTTTCTAAAGCTTCGCGAGAAATGAAGCACTCATATTCGATTGACAAAGAGCAAGGAAAAAGAAAGGGGCTCCATAGCAACATATGTGAAGACATATTTTCTTTAAGAATTTATTTATTCATATACTACGTATATTTTTTTCAATTAAACATATTTCTAAATATTTTGAAAATATTGATAACAAAATCAGGGATGCATTAGCTTCGAAAAACATCCCAACACACACTGATTTTTAACAGTTTAAAGGGCATAGATAATCACTAAGATTAATGTTTTGTTATTGAGGAAAAATATTTTAAGGGCAAGATTTTTGTGTAAATGTGCTTAGTCACTTATAGAACATACAAGTTATTTACTACCAATAAGATCTGACTTGCTTCACTTCAATGCAAATAGTAACAACTTACTTCTACACACTTCATTACATAAAAATTACATTTATTTAAACGAATAGGATAAAAATACATTTATTTAAACCATAAGATTTTTTTAAATAAAAAATAAAAAATACATTTATTTTAACGAATAGGATAAAAAATTTATTTAAAATTTATGTCCCAGCCCAAAAAAATATAGAAGGTCAGCATATACAATTTAATTAATTTATAGCAGAAAGAATAGAGAAAAATGGCAGTTTAAGAAAGCCAAAGTATTTTCGAAGCCAATGTGAAATTATAGTGTCAAGATTGGGTTACATTTTCAACAAAAAAAATCAAACAGTGAAGTCTATGAAGAAATATTCTAGAAATAAAAATCATGCATGTTAATTGAATCAATATTATACCTTTTCCGAGGCAAAATAAATGGTCATAGATCGGAGCCCCCCTTTGTACAGACTTTAAAGATCAAAATTGAAACTTTTCGGATCTTTCATCGGAGACCACCTCGCCATTTACCAAAAAAATGATTACAATCGGAAATGAGGAGCAAAGAAGAGATACAAGCAGAGGTCGTGTGAGACACGTGGGCGGCGGAAATGTAGGGTAGGGAGAAGAGAATATTAAGAGGCCAAATATATGGGCCTGGACCTGTTGAAAAATTCGAATTGGGCTTGGTCCTGATTTTTTCTTTTAGATAATCTATTATGTAAGGTTTAGGTTTAATAACCCAATATTTTTCAATACACATTTCAAATGCTTCAATATTTCTGCTTATACTTTAATATACCTTTTAAAATATTTTAAAATTTTAAAAAAGTTATATTACTGATATTTAGTATTTCTTCTTTTTGTCTATAAAAAGATTAAGATTTTTTCTGTAAATAATAATATTTACCGGCAATGTGAAGATAATAATATGTCACTGTCTACATATCAAAGTATCTATCAATCAAGTTTATTGTGTAGCAGGATTTCATTACTTCTTTCTAATGTTTTAATATTTATACTTATACTTTTATATAATTTTAAAATATAATTTAAATATTTTAAAAAGTTATGTTACTAATTTTTAGTATTTCTTCTTTCTATTGAAAAAATTAAGATTTTGGTCGGTAAATAATACTCTGTAGTATTTATACCGGTAATGTGGAGATCATAATATCTCATTGTTGACTTTCCAAAGTATCTATCAATCAAGGTTATTGCATAGACGGATATCATGTGATTCGATAAATCCATTGAGCGACGTTACTAATGGTATGATTCATGTTAATAAACAAAGTTGATTGTTCTTCATTCTCATATTGTGTATTTTATACAGTAAACCCTAAAACTCACCCTTTTATTTTTTGTGTCTAATAAAATTCATTTAATAATAAGATATACAAATGGAAATCACACATATCTACTATTTATATACAGTAATAATCTTGATTTTTAACATTTTATATATTTTTTATCAATTAGGATAAGTTTTTTATCCGTGCATCGCACGGGCGATGTACTAGTCGATATAAATCACACAATTCAAATATATGGTATATATATGAGACAAAAGTAGTGTGAGACTAATAAAAAATAAACAAAAAAGAAGAGAATAGTGTGACCAGACTACATGTATATATATATGTACCTTTTGGGGGGTACATAATAAAAACCAGTAGTGTGCCAAATTTTGAAGAGGGAGGAGGAAGAAGAAGAAGACAAGTTGCAGAGATGAAGATAGTTAGCTCCCAAAGCAGCCGACATTTTCAAGCCTTTGGCGATGATGATAATGTTGTTTGAGGTTGTCTGCGATCTAGAACTAGGGTTTCTTCTTGACAAGAAACCTGCAGAAGAATTAGGGCCCGGGAAACCAATTGACGACCATGATGAAGCTGCCATTGATCTGCAAGCTAGTGATGATGACCTGATTATGGTTTTCTTTTCTCTTTTTTTTGTTAAATGATATAATTTGATGTGACTATATTAATGCTTAAAGAGATTATATATATGCACGGTTGATAAATACTCAACTTAATTTATTTCTGACTTTCTTTTTTGGGTCGTCTAAAAATTTATTTCCTTTTTCCTATTTTAATGACAATTTTTTTAATAAATGTGTTATTACACTTCTACTTTTTATCTACACTATTTACTTTATTCCATCACATCAAAGACAAATATCGAAAGTCTTTATACTTCTTTTTAGTCTTCGTGCCAAATCAAAACGAGGAAAAAGTTTTTAGATTGAGGAATTTTGGAGTAATAATGAAGTACAAGTGGATGACATCAAGAAAACAATAATAATACGATGGAGCCACTAGCCATGCATTTTTTGACTTATCCAACGCATGTTAATTGCTAATTTCGCTTATACAGTTGTCTAAATTAAATACGTAGTAGATAGTATTTCATTTAATAGCTCTCCAATAAAAATGTAATTCAGTATTCTCAGCGTCGATTATAAAATATTATTCGCATACTATCTTTTATACGCCTTTATTGTTCTAACAAATCATTGAATCTTACATCGTTGCTCTAGCGTGATTGATATTATATCTGAAATAATGAGTTGACAACACGTATAAATTAATAAAACTCATTTTCCTTGAGTTGATCATATATTTGGGATATTTTTTTTTCATTACTTGGAAATGTCAACTATTAATTCATTAAATAACATTAATACTGCCACAACCATATCCGCCAATTAACTGAGAAAATTACCCAAATTAAGACCAAAACACTGGCTCTTTAATTTACACAAACTTTTAGGGTCCAATATTGTTAGATTTTCATTAATCTAATTAACTTGATATTTTCAAATACGTAGTATAACATAAATTTATATTTTAATATTCAAATTGTTATAAACCAGTTATTAAAAATCAAATTTAATTTGCACTAATTTTAAAACATAAATGCTCTACAAAAAACAAAACATGACCCAGGCCAACACATAAATTTTGCACAAAGTCAATCCCTTTTTTTTACCTTTGCTACATTGCTATAACTTTTCACTTTTCTTGTCACTCTATACTCTCAAATCCCATATCTCTATTAGTCTTTTGGTAAACTCGCGTTATACAGAGTTGCCAGTGTTCAACCTTCTCCCCCATATATATATATATATATATATATATATATATATATATATATATATATATATATATATATATATATATATATATTCCATCTCTTATTGGGTTCAAAGAACCTTTTAGAATAAAAAATCCTTAAGTCAAATAATTTATTTTCTTTTTAATATTTTCATCAATAGAGCATCAAATTGGCCATAAATTTCTCTCGTCACGGCGACCTGGCCATGTGCGGCTGAATGGCTGAAAAAACGGACTTGAATTGCATTGGTTTTAAAGTTAATGCTACCCACTTATGGCTGCTCAAACTAAACATACACAAAATACAATTCCTTTTTATTATTGTTGTTATTATTATGAAACGCAATAATAAGTATTTTCATAATGCCAAAAACATTTATTTCAAACTTTTAGTCTATCTATAAGATCACGAAATTGTCTTCCCCAACTGAGTACTAGAGAGGTCGGTGGTGGTGGCGTGCCACCCGGTTACAAGAGAGAAGAAAGAGCTCGAGAAACATTTCGGGAGATTCGATCATGGATTGGCTCCTGCAAAAGCTCCATGGGTTTTTGAAATATTACCAATAAGAACACATTAAACCAAACCGATAAGAAAAATGTATGGTCTTATTAGCAGCAGGGTGAGTTCATTACCTCTGTTGAGGGAAGCTCAAAGTTAGACTTCGTTATCGTCTCATACAAGAAAATGTAACTGCCAATTTGAGCCATATAACAACAATCCCAAATGTCATGAGATAAAAAAAGAGGGCAAGCAGAGTGAAAATATAGGAAAAACACAGCATGAGACTATAAACTTTTCATTTTTCAATAATGAAATTACGATGAGTTGTCTAAAATATCCCAGAGATTGGGTAATTTTGATAGTAATTTCTTTAAAAAAAAATGAGATTTTTACAGAAGTGGACAGCGAAAAGTGGATGGAGGGATTGTATTATTAGGGTGTGTTAAATTGTGAATGGATAGCATACCGCCAGGCTAGTTCAGCTACGAGTTCTTGTGGAGCTTCAGGCAAAACCTACAATGGGAAAGACACAGTAATTAATTACTCTGTATTTGAATAAATAATAAAGGCAAAGTGTGTTGATCTAATGTTACTTGCCTTGTCCTCGTACGGATTGCAGTGGTTTTTAAACCACAATCTCAGAAATTCCTACAAGTATGAATTGATTTAAGAAAACAGATTATAAAACCACTACTGCAAAGCATGTTACTCGAATTACTACTCCGTAATTAATAAACCTTGTCGACATTTTCAGGCTCTAGACCATCATGGAAGCGGTCCTCATAAGAACGAGCGATCCAGTATCTGCTTGAGTCGGGTGTATGCACCTGAGAGTGATTTCTACAAATTTACTATTTCTTTCAGAAAAATGACTGAGATTTGTGTTTTAGAAGAGATTTACCTCCCAGAACACTGTTTGTGAGATTTACTGGGTTTCTTGCTGTAGCTGCGCATGTGCGTAAAAGAGATTTACCTCAACAACAACAAACCCAGTAAAATCCTACAAAAAGTAGGGTCAGGAGAGGGTGTGTGCGCGCATACCTTACCCCTACTCAAAAGTAAAAAAAGATTTACCTCATCGATCAAAAGAACAGTTCCATCAGGCCCCTTCCCGAATTCATACTTTGTGTCCACCAGTATTAATCCGTGTTCTAGTGCAACACGCTACAGTTAGAAATGATAGAAAGAAATTTAATAAGTTAATAAAACAGCAGATTAGATTTACTTGAAACGAAGACAAAACAGAGTTCTACAAATGCAGACGAGACAACTTGCCTGCCCAAATTCAAATAAGCTCAAGGCTTTCCTACTTGCTTCGTCATACTCATCTTGGGTCATTAGCCATAGTTGAACTATCTGCAATAAGTATACATGGTATGAAGCAATATCTTAAAAATTGAAGCAAAAATTAAAGAACAATATCCGTTTGTTGGAACTCACAAAAACTAGGGAAAGGAAGAAACTAAGTACATCCCAAAGAAGTAATGAAGAAAATAAAACCTCATCTGGGGTTACAGGTACATCATGATCAGCAGCTTTAGTAGTTGGGGTAAGTATGTTTGCTGACAATTTTTGGTTTTTCACCAGTCCTGTCAATTGTAGGTACAAATTTCTAAAAATCTAGTTTTGGACATATACAAACTTATTTATTAGCCGTAATATTCAAACAGTTACCATCAGGGAGGACATTGCCACAGTAATTTCGAACCCCATTCTTGTAAACAGTCCAGAGTGATGTATCCGTGCTTCCCGTCACATATCCTCTAACTACACTAGCCAAAAGTATATGTCACTCAACAACAATAACGACAAACCCAGTAAAATCCCACAATAGTCATTAGATTTTACAGAGTAAAAAATATTCCAGTTTCAATCCAGCAACTATTGGGTCATTCCATTTTTATCCATCCATAATCTAACTTTCAGGACACAACTATAGATTTCTTGCTACTTTTTGGCATTTTATAACTCATCTGACCCAATTTGCGTACAATTTGTGGTTGATTTTTGCTTACTATGTCAACAGGAAGAATCAAAGAGGCAAAAATATTCATCGTCATGAAATTTAGAAGCCAAAGATTAAAATGTCCTAATAATAGTGGGATCAACAACAACAACGCAGTTGAATTCCACAAAAGTAGGGTCTGGCCTAGTAATAGTGATCAAGAGTCTAAATTTTGCTCATATTTTATTTTAAATCAGTGGTTATTTTGATACAGTTGTAGCGGGCGAATTTAAGACAACAGTTAAAACAGCCTTCAAATCTTGAATTGTACAGATGAAATGAAACTTACCAACAAATTCAACAGGAAACACTGAACACTTCTTTGCAATAGTGACATTCCGGTCTGGTGATGCTACTACTGCATTGGGAATAATGTGTTGAGTTCTGTTGAACCACCATAAACTAGTCTCATTCAGCACCTACATGATTCAATACTTATTCGAATTGTAAATACACACACACACACACACAAATCTTTAATAGGCCAAACTAGATCAAACTGAAGAATCCATCTTCTGTAAACAAGATTATAAATAGATTTATATTTACCTGGCCTTTGAAGGGAATTGAAGCAAGAATCCTATCAAATGCACTTTGCCTGTCAGTCGTCACCAGAACAAGATAATCCCCTCCGTCGTATATATCCCTAACCTTCATAGAAAGATTAGGCACTATTGAATCAACAATTTCAACTTATCTCCCTTTCTTATTAAAATGCACAACTATATTGAAACAGAAAGATGCGAGTTTTAACATAAATAATGAAATGTCTCTCAAATTTCAGTCTGTTAAAATTAAAAATGCAATCTTTTACCTATTTCTGACCCAAACCATGAAAATTCAAGTGCCCAATATCAACCATATAATTTACCTTGCCGCGGATCTTTGATTTGAGGGCAGGGACAGTTAAATCGAGGTGGGTCTCGGACAAACAATTGGAAAGCGAGTTTTTGATGGAAACCATGGCCTCCTCCTTGCGATCACTGTCACTCAATGCCTGAAGTACCGGAAAGTTTTGATTTTGCTGCTGGACAGAAGGCTCTGCTGATGCGGCATATATTGGTGGGTATTTGTTCCTCATTCTTGGAAATGCTTTGAGTGATGATGATGGTGATCGACAGGATGGAATCCTAGGTTGATTATTATAGAGGGAGAGACTTCTGTGATGGGTTTTTGGAATGTTTAAGGTTTGGAGAGGCTGAGCAGCCATCCTGTGTTCCTTCTTTTGAGCTTGTGACCAGGGGCAGATCTACCATTGGAATCATACAATGTCCGCTATTTAATAAATATACTCAACTCAATAAAATCATTACTCATTTACTCTAGTCCCAAAATAAGTACTCGGTAATACACTTCCTTTTTTGGTTATCCTAAAATAAAATTCAATTTCGTTTCTTACAAAACTACACCATAAAAATGTTAATTTTTCTATAGATCCTTTATTTTTTCATGTGTATTTGTGATCAATATATAATCTTGTAGTTTTGTTGTACAAACATCTAACCTTAGTAATGGGTAACGCTCACGAAATTCTTAGCTTTGCCTGCAAAATTTGGGACAAAGGGAGAAATTTTTTAGTAGAATGCTTCTATGGTGCATCTTAACAACAATTTTGTGAGCACTACTCACAAAATTAACCTTTTTTAAGAGGCAATGTTAACTGACAAAAAATATAAAAGAATTTATCTCAAACAAACATTCAAATAATTAAAATGAAGAAGTTCTAAAATTAAAAAAATATATACGAGCATACAATTTACAGAGTACAATACACTATTTAAGTAACTTTTTTGACCAAAAATTAAAAATGTATAGTAAGGAGTACATCAATTTATAACTTAGTTCAATTATCATGTTTTAGAATTTCCAATTTTTTTTAAATTTTGTCTCACACTTAACAGTTTAATTCAACAATCTACATTAGTATAATTTTAGGAAAAAGTAACCTACTAAAATCAATTAAATAAAGTAGGAAAAAGAAACAACACAGGGCAGGATCAAAAACACTTACCGGACTCGGAAGTTACAGCTGTCGGCTAGATGAGCGGAATCGGCGGCTGATGGGTTTGGTGGGCGATGGTTCCCGGCTGGCCGCTGGACTGTGGTTGCCGCCGGCCCGCTGGTGGCGTGCTTGGCCGTGCAATTGTGCGCAGAAGTGTACGGAGTATAACATAAGAAGCCGAATAACTGAAGAAGGCTTGGGCCGGGTGGTCTGTTTTTTTGTTAAGCTATTTTTCGTTTCGATTGGGCCGGGCCCTGGTAACTTTTCATAAAATATTCACAATTCAAAATTTATTAATTTTATTGTTTATTTTTTCTATTTATTCCATTATATAATATAATAAAATTATGATGCATTTTATTTTCTAAAACTTTTTTTGAACTTTATAAATAAATAAATTTATTTTGAAAATCTAAGATTATAATCAAATAAAACGATTTAAAGAATTCTGATGAATTCAGAGATATTCGGTGCACTTTTTAATGTTCAGGGGTAAACCATATAATTTTTGAAAATTTCAGAGATATTTGGTGCTTTTTTTTATACTCGGGGGTAAGTGGTACACTTTTCTCTCTTTTTTTTATTATTGAAGCCTAATGTAAAAAATACTTGAAAAAATCATTTTGAAATTAGTCATTAACTAATGAAAATATGGGAAAAATCACGGAAAATATAAAATCACCATCACTAGGCTGCAAATTATATGCTACAACCGGATATACTGTACATCATGTACATCATGACTGATGGGTATAACTCATTAGTACCACCCGACAAGTTCACAAGCGCCCGTGAGGTACCGAAGTCTGCCCCAACCCGACCTTATCGACTCCGGTAATCTGACCGGGTGGATGTCAGGGGGGCCAGAATTGTGAGATCATGACTTCATCCGCAAATGGCTTGAAGATTGGCCGAGAAGATGCCTTGAGATGAATAGTAGCGATAAGAAGTGTTTTTCTATTCTTATAAATAGGAGTAAAAACCTTATTAAGAGGGCATGCGATAAATAATTCGCATAGCTTGTAAACTTGTAAACGATCCCAGCATTATTAATAACCAACCTGGTTACAAGTGTTCCTATCTACAGTCCTTTCGCTTATTCTGACTTAGTATCCACGTTGGTTTTATACCATCAATGACAAATGTGTAATTAAAAAATGTTTTAGAATGAACATTGTGTTGTTTCAAGATGAACTGACGAACACTATGCTATTTTCGAACGAACACACTACATTGAGCAGACTTGAAATGATCACTATGTTACCTCAAAATAAACACTACCACTATGTTTGGTTCAAGGATTTTGAAAGGGAAAAGAAAATGAAATAGAAAATAATTTTTCTTGTTTGATTGGAGAGAAAAAGTGGAAGGAAAAGAATATGAGAAGAAAAATGTAATAAGGAAGTAGAGTAAAAAACAAATTCCTTCCATTTTGGTGAACAAAACGAGGAAAATCATTTCATTTCTTTCATTTCAAATTGCTTGAACCAAACATAGTGTACATTGATTTAAAGAGAATACTACCTCCGTCCCACTATATTCGTCCAGTTTTGACTTTTGGAACTGTTCATCTAAGCACTTTGACTCATCAAAATCTCTCAATGTGTAAGCCTAAATATAGTCATGTGTGATCTTGTTTGATTTGTCTTAACATATAGTTTATTAATATATAATTTCTATAATTTTTTAATATACAAATTACAAGATAAAATAGATTAAAGATGTGTATTGGATGGTGTGTAAAAATGAAAGTGGACAAATACTCTGGGACGGAGAGAGTATTTACTAAAAGTATTTAGTTCTAGACTTTTAGTCTTCTAGATAGACCAGGACGTAAGGCTCTTCATTTAGGCCGGGTAGGTCCCTTAAAAAACAAAGAAAAAATTTTCGAAATGATCATTTGTAATGATGTATTTTTCAATTAAGTCGTTTAAATTTAGATGATAGAAATACCAAAAGATATTTAATTAATCATCATTTGAGTAACGTTATTTACAAAAGATCATTCAAAAAATAAAATTCAATTATAAAAAATCGCGTAATTAATTAAAATTTATTAAGAACTGATTTTAAAAAATAGAAATAATTTTAGAAATTTATTCAAAAACAAACCAAATTGTACGACATATGAACTTCTCCCCTGGCTTGAGTGGTAGCAAGCCCACTCCCCAGGATTCATGGGGAAGTTCACCCAGGTTCGAGCCCCAGCGAAGGCAGCAACATTGACTCTTTGTGCGCGTCATTAGCTTGAGAATGGTATGAACAGATACTACTTTGTAATAGAGTCAATAGCATTAAAAAAAATTGTACCGCATATAATGCGTGACCTGCTTTTAAGGTCAAAATCCCATCCGTCACTCCACAAAGTGATTATTAACTCCTTAGATTCCTTCTTCCCAGCATAGACGCCCGGAACGACGCCGGCGACGGAGGATGGGAAGCGAAGCGGAGGAGGCGCCGGCGCCGAGGAAGCCCAGGTTCCTCTGCCTCCACGGCTTCCGAACCAGCGCCCAGATTCTCAAGACCCAGCTGGTCGGAAAATGGGACCCCGCCGTCGTCGACAAACTCGACCTCGTCTTTCTCGACGCCCCTTTCCACTGCCTCGGAAAATCCGACGTCGAAGGAATCTTCGATCCTCCTTATTACGAGTGGTTCCAGTTCAACAAGGTATTGGAGTATTAATTTTGCTTCTTTTTATTTCTACTTTTTTTTTATACTTCTCAGAGCAAGATTTTCAATTCTTTGTATATTTTATTGGGAAAATTTAAAATAAAATCTGGATTGCAGGAATTTACACAGTATGAGAATTTCTATGAGTGTCTTGAATACATAGAAGATTGCATGATAAAAGAGGGACCTTTTGATGGTCTTCTTGGTTTCTCCCAGGTTAATCCCATCCCCTTCACTCATCTAACCATCTGGTTAAGCTTTTAGTGAGTTGATTTATCTGATAAAATTAATGTGTTTTTGGTTTAGGCCATTTTGAGAATCCTATGGTTTTCCCTTGTACTTTGGAAGGAATCCTGCCCCCATAATCCCCACAAAATCTCGTGCTCCGGGTGTAATTGTATCAACCAGGAGCTTGGGATTTGTGGGGAGTTTTAGGGTGTAGGATACCCTCCTACACCATTTGGAGTTGTCAAAAGAACCGTAACGCTAAGTGAAATGGGTTTTTTTATTTGTCCCAATGCAGGGAGCAATTTTGTCTGCAGCGTTACCCGGGTTACAAGAAAAGGTATGCACATATATTTTTGCATTGAAAAGTGATCAAATTCGAGATTAAATTCAATCGATTAGCCAGTTTGGCTCGAGAAGATGATGATGTGTTTTGAATGTAATTGGTTTTGGGTTTTGGGTTATTTAGGGTGTGGCATTGACCAAGGTCCCAAAGATCAAGTATCTGATAATAATAGGAGGTGCAAAGCTAAGGGATGAATCCATAGCAGAGAAGGCATATGCAACACCAATCACATGCCCTTGTGTTCATTTCATAGGGGAGAATGACTTCCTAAGGGAACCCGGCACCCAACTCCTCCTCTCTTTTGTTGACCCTCTCGTCATTCGCCACCCCAAAGGCCACACCATACCCAGATTTGGTAACGTGTTGTGTTTTTCCCGTTCGTGTTTGACTTTTTTACAGTCTCCAATGCAACACTTTGACCTGTCTTCTTTTGGACAGATGAAAAGGGGTTGGGAGACATGCTTTCCTTCATAGAGAGGATTCAAAAGATGGAAGAAGAACATAAAGATTCATCATCCCATTGATTGGTTCTCCATTATTTGGTTATTATGGTGGTTGTACAATGTTTACAAGTCATTGATGTGGTTTATAGATTATTGGTCATGATTCCGTACGTGCATGATATTTTGTGGTGTTTGGCTTGTCCAGCAATGTGGGAAGTTGTACAACCCGCTTGTTTGGCAGTACTTTATTTAAATGATAAATAAGGTTTGTTTGGTGAAATATGAGATTCATGCCCAACTACTCCCTCAAAAAACACATGTTTTTCTTTTTGACATTTTTAAATGTTCATAAAGTCGTTTGTTGTGGCGGGGCTTAACGGGGTGCCACGTAGGCATTCCTGTGAACGAGTGAGTGTGGGGTGTCACACTCCCATGAGCGAGTGAGTGTGAGTTAAAATATGTGTGTTATAAACTTGTGATGAATGTGCGTGTTGTATTAATTGGTTGAAGTAAAATGTGTGTTAAATTTTGATTGATTGAATTACTTAAAAAGAAAGCACGGTGCTTGACATGCTCTTCATAGGTACTCCGTACATTTTAATGATGGCCATTTTCATATAGAAAATAATCATTTTTTATTGTCATTGTCAGAAATCAAATTCGTATATACTCATTTTGACACTTATCTCTAAATTGATGTTTGGTCTTCTAGTGCCCAACGTGAATTTACTACGAAGTAGTAAGACAATTAGTTTGAATCCAACATTTAATTTGTCTGATTTTACATCATTTAGTAACACTAACTCATTCCCAAAATGACTTGGATGCCAAAATGAGAAAAACTTTAATTTTTACATTTATTTAAAAAAACTTGTATAGATTTTAAAATAAAAGTTACTTTGCACATATTTAAAAACCATGTTAGAAGTTCTATAAAATTGACAAAAATATTATATTTTACTCCGTATTAAATAATCAATAAAAATACAAATAAACAAATATTCTCATCAATATGGAATAGTGAAATAGTGAAAATTCACAATTCTATTTCCGTATATCAATTTCGGGATATGCAAGGAGCCGACTTTGGATGGTGGAAGATTCCAAGTGTTTTTCCCATTTTCATATACCAATATTATTTCTTCATACGTCTCTTATTTAATGTAAAGTTCTAGTTCTTCTTTTCTTACAAATGATTTTGACTTATATGCTTGTTTTAACTTCAATTTTTTTTTGAAACATGTTAGGTGTTAAAAAATTGCAGAAATAATATGAACTCTATTTTTTAATATAGAATTAAATTTTGTCCGTCTCGAGTAATTGTCCCACCTCACTATTTAAAGTCATCTTTTTTATTTTATCTAATTACTTTTGTTAATTATTTATCAAAATAATGTAGTGATTTCACCTTTCGTTTTTTATTCTTTTATAGAGAACATAATATAATTTTTTATTACTCCATCAGTACCCAGGTACATTTTTTAACTTTCCTAATAACGTAAAGGATATGCAACATGTATGTCTTTTCTTTCTCCTATTCAAGATTATCAAATACCTTCATTCCAAATTACTCTTCATATTTAAAATTATTTTATTTAAAAACTTGTTTCCAAATAAAAAGTACAAGTTACACTATTCAAAACTACATAAAAAATTTTATAAAATAAGATGTGATAATATTATTTTATTTCATCAATACTCAATGAGAATATAATACACATATTTCCTGAGACTAAAACTAAAATTTGTAAATTTGTAAAGGATCAGAAAAATATTTAAATTAAGGTAGAACTATTTTCATAAATAATAATTTTATAGAGACGATTTAATTAAAAAAATATTTGGAGAGACCAAAAAAATTCATTAAATTTTATAAGGACCAAAAAATAGATTGTACATTTTCATTGTGACTTCAACTTTGTAGAATCTTTAACGTATCTTTCAAATATATACGGAGTAAGTTTTATTTTTTATTTTATAATAATTTTTAAATAAAATAAATTAAAATAATTTAAAATTACACGGATTATTTATTTTAGGCAAACTAAATCTCTCAACCTATCCTGTATAATTTTATTATTGTGGATTAAATTATTTGTACCCGAAGATTTGTACTCCAATTTGGACACCGCATGTATACACTTTCATTTTGTGTCAGTGTAATGCTAGAGTAATAGTTACACAGACACAAAATGATAACCCAAATCTTTGTTAACCTACTATCATTTTGTGTCAGTGTAAATTATCAAAATGTTAATATATATTTTTAATATAATTTTAAAATACATTTTTTGGTATAAATGAAACAAGGTTGTTTTTACTATTCCAAACGTTGAACCCAACGTTCATTTAATCATAAAGGACAAGTAACGGCTAAACCCCATAACGTCCATTTACTGATTGAGAAGACCGACCCATTATTATTCCCTCTTCCCTTTCATCTACCCCGAGAAAATCAACAGAAGCTTCTGGAATTCCCCCAATTCATCATCCTCCATTGCCACCCATCTCGATTCGCCATGAGCTCCGCCGCCCAAACCCGACCGCCCAGTTCCGAATCTCACTCCTCCGATTACGCCCCATACCCGAAGCTCGACCCCAACGACACCGCTCCGGTCTCCCTCGGTTCTGATCATCCGCCGCCGGCAAAGGAACATCCCACCTCTCCTCCGCCCTCCGGTGGCCCCGCCCCTATATCCGGATCCGCCGCTACCTCCATGCCTTCAGAATCTAACCCTTACGTCTCGCCGGCTCCGGCGGCCGCTCCCGGTTCCTCCGTTAAAAGTTAGCGCAATTTCTCTGTATTTATCCGATTTGAAAATAATAAAAATAATCGAGGATGATTTTCAATATGCCGTTAATTGCTGTGGTCTAATGGGAAAGCTTGCTCTTGTGTATTTCCCAGATACGATGGATACAATTAAGGATGTTTTGGGGAAATGGGGGAAGAAGACCGTTGAAGCAACGAAGAAGGGCCAGGATCTTGCTGAGAACATGTGGCAACATTGTGAGTCTTAACGATCAATTTCGCCTTGCTTGTCCCATATGAATTCATAGAGTGTTCCATTTCTTTGTAATGCTTGTTTATAAGTTGTTCATGGATAAAAAAAATGATGCTCCGTACGTCCCAAAATAAGGTTCTTGTTTTTGTTTCAATTCATTATATTTGAAAATTTGAAATTGGTGTAAATCTAAAATAGGAGTATGGTGATCAAAAGTTCTACAATACAAAACAAGTGGTGATTTGACTATTTTAATTTTAAGAAATGATCGATGAAAATGATAAAATTTAGGATGGGTATGGACAACTGGATTGGGTAATAAGACACTTTGGTTGAACCACATTAAAAGATTGAATCCAATTGATTAGTTCGTTTAACTTAAGAGCTTATATACCGGATTATTTTACTCTTGAACTTTTGATGTGGGATGCACTTTAATAGAAAAGACTTAAAGAAAGAAGATTTAGCCTCACACCTGAATAGTGATCAGGAACCTTATTTTGGGACAGAGGAAGTTACGGTTTGTTAAAGATACACAGATGTTTGGTCTTGTAGGATAATTTAATGATACTAATATGGGTTTAATATATTTTCATCAGTGAAAACTGGTCCCAGTATGGCTGATGCTGCAGTTGGGAGAATTGCTCAGGGGACCAAGATTTTGGCAGAAGGTGGTTATGAGAAAGTGTTTAGACAAACATTTGAGACTGTTCCGGAGGAGAAACTGGTGAAGGCGTATGCGTGCTACTTGTCTACTTCTGCCGGCCCTGTTATGGGACTTCTTTACCTGTCTTCCGCAAAGATTGCATTTTGCAGTGATAATCCACTCTCTTACAAAGTCGGGGACCAAACTCAATGGAGCTATTACAAGGTACTGTTTCCAAATACCATATCTCTTAGCTGGTTGTTTGGTTCTGTGCTTATTGTTCCCTATGCATTTTTCTGGGCTTATTTCCAAAAACCATCTTTTAGCTAGCTGTTAGCGTTTGTGTTAGTTGTTTGGGTCTTGGATTGTTTTCAAATGTTCGAAAATTAAGCTCTTTTGCAAACAAATCTTGAAAAACAGCTGATTCAAAAAGCTTGGAAAACTAGTTTCATGTAAACAAGCAGTTTGGGACCCAAAAACTCTTTAGCTAACACTTCTAATGGTTTTGGCAAAAAGCTTTTTGGAAAACTTTATGTACAAAAAAATTACTTTTTGGGATTTGGTCACAACCCCTAACTCTCTGCTGTTAAAAAAGAAGAAGATTGTAGGCCACTTCCTTTTATTTGGCTGAAATGAATGATATTGAAACTTTTACATTCTTTTGCAAGTTAGTTTTTTTCTTTCGTTCATTGGTGAAGCAATCCGCTATCAACTCCATGTTTTTTTAGATAATTGAGCAGGTATGATAAATTCAGTCATATTTCTCCCACAATTCGAAATGCTTGTAGTTTCTTGATGCACCTTTTGCATTCTGCTGGCTCATAGGACACTTTAAATTGCTTCAAGGTCTCTTAGTTACTACTTATTGAAAACCACTTAATACAATTGCTATAAACTTGTCTTTTTGTGCAATTAGGTGGTTCTTCCAATCCACCAGCTGAAAGCAGTCAAGTCTTCAGCTAGCAAAATCAATCCTGCCGAGAAGTTTATCCAAATAATCTCTGTTGACAATCACGAGTTCTGGTTCATGGGATTTGTGAACTATGATAGTGCTGTCAAATGTTTGCAAGGTGCCTTGCTTTGACATTCTTGAGGCTTTCAACCATCCTCAGATGAGAACCAGCTTGTTGTATTGCATGGTTTGTATTTGAATGTGCAAGTATTATATATATATTGCATGACTTGTATTTGAAAATTTCTGAATGACTCGTGTAGCAAGTGATTGTAAAAATCAATTATACCATTTGTACTTGGAAATTGGAATCTCAAAATAGAGTATACTTTTGGAAGTGAATGCAAAATAGATTTATTAGTCAATCAGCTTTTGGACCAGCATTTATACTTAGGACTTTATATTTGCCTTTTTTTGGTAATCAATCCGATACTTATACTATTAGTAATTTTATTTGTTCATAAATAATTGATATAAAAATTTGATTTATCAAAATTACAACTTAAAATAGATTGAATTATATTATTATTTGAAAAAACAAAAAGACAGTGTAATGCAAATTTTGTATAATTCAATTATGTTTTCTTGAATTATATTAAGATTTATATATACACTCGAATTTGATTTGTGACAATGTCTTTACAACAACAACAACAACCTAGTTAAATCCCACAAGCGTAGGGTCTGGGAGGGTGTGTGTACGCAGACCTTACCCCTACTCGAAAGTAGAGAGGCTGTTTCCAAAGAGACCCCCGGCTCAACGTCGAAAGTTGCATTGCTTGACTAACTGCTACTTCATTAATTAAAGAAGCGCAGACAGTTTAGAGATTCATTTTGATTTATTCCATCACACTCCAAAGCCAAAAAATGGTGAAATTTTGGCTCCATCGGAGATGATGGAAATTTTGTGACAATGTCTTTAAAAAAAATAAAAATGTAATTCAAATTTTATTATGTAATTTATACGGAGTATATACACCATGTTTCACACATCACGGTTAAAATTTGAAAAAAAAGGTTAAATATAAAGAAAATTATGGTTTGGGGGGGAGTAGTTTTATTTTTACACATACTCTCTCAGTTGTTTGCGGGTGAACTCTATTTGCATATCCAGAAAAAAACATGAAGAAGCTGCTAACGAGGTTTGCACCAAGTCAAACATCAAATGACACAAAAAGTAGTGTTCATGTTCTAAGAAAATAAGAGGACTGTTTACGAGAAATGTCTATTATCTTCTTGTCTACTAACCCTAGCGTCTTATTCAATACATTGGCGGTTATAACCTCATTGTTAAGTAGGATCAATCCGACCAATTTCTTACGGGTTTAAATTTTTAATTAAATTTCATATGGGCAACTCTCAATATATAAATCAGGAATGAACCAGATACACAAGTAATAGACTATGATGCACCCACAAATAAGTATGGCAAGTAAAATGCGATTAGCATTTTTAATTATAAAAAAAAAAGGAACAGCAATTTTTAATGCGAGAAGGTGGATGTGCACCATAGAAACAGTGGCAATTGTATTGATCTAAATAACCTAACCAATTGTATTATTGGTTAAGACAGATCTATTTGGCTAGGCTAACTACATGTTTTTTGAGTCTTGTTTTTTTTACTAGAGCCTCAAAAAGGAGAAGAAAATCTAGGACTGAGTGGACTGAAGTGTCTTTAAGGTGGGTATGTTTTGAACATCAACTATAGACCTTTAAATGGCATTAACATGTAAAGATTTGCATCAATGTAGTCATCTGATGTCCTATAGCACATGACCATTTGCTTCACATGCACCATATGATATACAAGCAGACTAATGAAATGATTGAAAGGTCAAAGTATTACACATACCAGCTATCCCGGGGTTCGGCTTTCAGTTGGTCCATCAGGGTCGTCTTCCGCGGCTACATCTGTTTTCACTCTCTTCTTTGCTTGAATGTCAATGCCAACTACTTCAGGAGAACCAGGATCATCTGCTGCTGCTTCTGGACTGTTAGCTTCGGGCGAAGAGTTCTTATCGTTGCCTTTTCCCTCTTCACCTCCAGAGCCTTGGGATCGCTTTCTTTCCCTTAACAAAGCGTCTATTACTAGAATAGTGCCTGTGCGATATTCCTGCAATTGGGCAATCAACTCTAGGTTGCATTCACTTTCCCTCTCGAGTTCGTTGACTTTTTGAATTAGTTCTTTTCTTTCTGTAACATCTAATTGATTCTGCAACTCAATCAACCCAACCTGAGTGGCATAAAAATCTAAGCCATCAAAATTTGAAAACGGTCTAGAAGTACACGCTAGCTAGCTAGTAGAAGAAGATGATGATACGGATGAGAGTCATAATTGTGTTGGTGCCTACCTTCTGCTCCCCAGGCTTCGAAGCTGTAAAGTCGGTGAGAGCCAGGTACAGACTGCTAGTAGCTTGCTCAAAGTTTTTGTACTCGCTTCGGAGAATATGCTTTCCAACTCTAGGAGCAATAAGAAACTTCAAGATTTGAGCCGAACATCTGAAAAACTTTGCAGCATTTCTCATAAACTGTTCTGTTTGTGGACCTGCAAAATGTATATTTTTGTGTGAAGCCAACGCATAGCAATGGGTCAATTTAATATGCATACTTGGAACAACTTACCCTTAAGATTCATCTGTAGAAAAGGAGTAAGAACAAGCGCCGTAGCTTCGGCTCTTGCATACAAGGAAAATTCCAGTGCCAGTACCTTAGGATCCTCTTTCTGAGCTGCGATACATGCTCGCAGTTTTTCGATAACACTGTCCATGTCACATATAATGGATTTAATAAATTGCAGAATAGAGTTAGCTATCGCAGCACTAGTAGATTTGTTTATGACAGTGTATGCTTCTGATTTGAATAATGGGGCTGCCTTCTCTGACCCAACTACTTGTAGAAGTTGAGTAGCCATGTCTTGGACGACAAGCAAGTCATTGGGGGCTGAGGTCAAAGAAATGACAAGCGAGACCAATCTTTTAGCAACTTCAGGATTTCTTATATAAGTACTTTGGCATATACCCATTGCCCACTCTCCAATTAGGTTCTTCTTTTCCCCCACCATGGTACTGGTAATCATCATAACTATATCACAAATAACCTGCATACATTGATAATCTTCAGAAAGTATCCTTGGAAGATGATTGCATTGAGATTTGCATAAGAAATAGTGTCTAATAGAATAAACCCAATTAGCATGACAGGAAATTATTATTTAAAAAATCAGCACCAAACAACTGTTTAAGACTTCAATTCTAATTATAGAGCAAGCAAAAGATAATTGGACAAAACACTGGGGAAGTAGACCAAGGCAAAAGACAAGAGAGGCCAATATGGAAAATCACTTGTCAAATACGGAGTAGCAGAATATTTTAATTCCAACACAAAAGATTAGGTCAACTAAAAGAGTAGAGTATATGGCTGTAAAGGGAAAATTAGACCATCATGAAGTAACCTGAGGTTAACTAGCATTTATAAGAAATATTCAAGATAGGGACAAGTTCCAAAACACAGTTATCATAAACTAAATATACCGTTAGTTATAAATTACCTCAACTTCATGAAAATATAAAGAGTTAGAAAGCCCAATAAACTCCTGAAGTAATGGCTTTATGATCTTTTCAATGAATATTTCTTTACTCCTTACAGGGTCAACAATATCGTGAATGTTGCTATGATTGTCCCATCTAGTATCTGACACATTTCCAGATGCAATCTCATCTCGAGCAACTGACAGCAAGTCATTCATCAAATTTGCACAATCCAAGCTACACACACTTAAAGCTATCAGTTTTTTCAAGCACACCAGGGCCAGATGGATGTTCTTCCTGTGGCAGTCAATATCTTCCCTTCCCTTGATGTCTTTTTTCCTCCGTCTTTTTTCCGTAGACTTCAGTGATAGAATCACTATCAGAAGTGGCAAACCCAATGAATTGATATTCCCTTGCTCGGTCTTCAATGGATCATCTTTCCCCATAGAAGAAATAAAGTCCAATTGACGCATACATATCTTCAAGATAAAAGATAGATTTACCGGTAGCACAGGTAAATTATCAGGTAATAAATCAAAAAGATTAGAATGCACTGCACTTTCATCCTTAAAATCTCTTTCAACTTTTTTCAAAGCACCGAGCAGTAGTTGATGAATGCTTGAAGTTTTTAAGCGTGGGAATCTCTCATGAAGTTTAGTGCAGTTTGAGTACAACTTGTCTGAACCAAAGTTACCCGAAGAGCACGTAAGTCTTCTTTTTACAGCTCTCTTCAGCATATCTTTACTTGTGTTTTCTTCGGCACACTCATAGAGGCAAATTAAATTAGAAAGCTCTTTCGTCAAATCGACCTTCTTGACATCAGTTGCTTTGTCCAGCTCAAAGAAGGTGCTATTCAAATTCACTTCAATAAACCCCAAAAAAAGTAAATTGAGCATTAACACATGTCCAGATGCCAGTGTACCGTTTGCTACAAAATCTTCAAGTATGCCTGGTCTGACATGCAATGATCAGAAGGGAGTAAGAAAATAATTCAACACGACAAAAAGAAATCAGAAGCATAAATTGCATAAATAGCGGAACCAATATGTACATATACATCAATATGGATCTGGTAGAAGTAACGTGGAGATATTTTTCCTAAGCATGCAACGAAAGGCATTGTAGACTGAGGCCAAACACATTTTAAAATGGAAACGAGAAGACTGTATCGTATGTGTTCTAAGTTCTGGTGTTTTTGCCATTTTTACCTGATAGTCTCACAGTTTTGATGAGATCCCTTATCTCTAGCAAACCATGGGATAATATTTGGCTAGCAGGGTTTGTTCTTGCCTGCAGCAATTTTTGGTCTTTATAAATTATAGATCATACTTCAGAGATTCATATTAGCATGATGTAAAACAACCTCATTCTCTTGGATAAGAGAGAAGCCAGGCAAATCCGACAAAACGGAAGGATCAGTGACATGTTGATGAAATAGTTGCAGGATCCAACTGATGCAGTACAGAAGGCAGTCAAATGGCTCTTTAATAAAGAATTCACCACTCTCTATTTTAATGCATTCGATAATCTCAATCAGCTGAGAATCCTAAAAGTCATCAATTTATTATGAGTGAACATGAATTGAAACTTCAAAGCCAAACTGCTTTACATTTTAATGTAAGATGCATAAAAATAGAGCTTTTTTAGACTTTTGCTTGAAAACCATAATAAAAGCAAAACAGATGAAGATGATGCAAAAACCTTGGTGAGAGTTCGTTGAAAATGAGGCAAGAGAAAATCTAAAACACGTGCTGCACTCAAAGGGTCTATCAACACCAGCTTCAATAATCCATGGTACACAATCTCTCTGACTCTTGGCTGAGGTCAAGTGGGTTAACTCTCTCCTGCACCCTGAAAATAATTACAATGAGAGAAACTATTTAGCCTGTCACAATACCTGATGACATAGACACCTCTCCAGTAAACCACTAAGCTTGTCAAAAAGGTCAGCCTCAGCTGTACGAAAAACTTCAGTTTTCTGGTTGCAAGAGGCTTGGCTGCTTATTTTTTGAAGAGACAACGATACATTTTTTTCTGGCCGTTTTTCAGCTAAAAGTAATTCAACAATAGCAGAAGCCGCAGAAATATGAGCAGAAGATTCTCTTCTAAAAGTAGCCTTTCGCAAGACCAATATGGTATTATCCTGCATCATTAAAGAGAGAATGAAGGCAAAAAAGAATGAATAAGAGAGGATGTGACATTGTGACACATCTAACACAAAGACTGCTACAGAAATGTATTTAATCAATTAAACAGCAAATTAGCCAAGCTTAGTGTAGGCCACATATACGTTTTTTTTTAGAATTCCTGTCTTCAAAATGACATGGAAAATAAAAATTCATGTACATATTTTGACTTGAACGATATCTCACGTTCATTCAGTCCAAAGAACCTTGTTTTGATATTGTTCTGAACATACTTAATGGTCATTCACCTCTCATACTTGCAAAGTACAAATTATTGAAACTCTAAATATTAATTGCGAGACCTGTAAATCTTTACTACATTTCATCAGAGGCCATAAAACAATAATGAATGAAGAAGATATCTCAGGGTCTAGGAATAAGAAATAGTCCAACATTTTTTCCAGATAAGAAGCTTGTTCTAGTAGTGGATTTGGATGACTGTGAACTAGATGTCCAAGCAACCTACAAAAGTGAATCACAAAAAGCAGTAAAGCACTATGTCCATCATATTTAACGGGAGATGTCAGGACAGATTGTCGATGCAAGGGATAACTACTATACCGTATGACTGGCATCATGTTCGGCTTCGAAGAAAGGATCCATAAATTGCATTGCTGAATTATCTGTTAAGGGACAATTGGGCGACAAACTTTAAAAAGTCCTAGACATGACAAATATTCTAAAACTTACACAGTTTAAAAGTGAAAAGTAAAATGTCCACTCCAGGCGTGGTTCACAAGGAAAGGTACTGTCAAACGCTTCATATTTTAGAAACATCCTTACCTCAGTTTTTGTGGCATCATTAAAATCAAACAAACTTTTTAACATTGCAGAACCTAGTTCCTCTGGACCCGCAACACAATCATACTTGGTCTCTTTGCTGCTCTTCTTCTCTACACACTCAAGCAATACAAATCCCAATTGTACGATGCTTGGCACAACATGCTCTCTCCCAAAGCTGCTTTCCCTGACCTGCAACTGTATAAACAGTAACAATATGACTATTAACCAAACAGCTAGCCATACATAACTACAAAGATCTCAAAGCTGTGACCAGAGACACCAGACTCCTAGTTAGATGCATTTGTTATCAGTATGAACTCGTACTGTGATTTTCCTAAGACTGTTATTACATGGAAATTACTTGCAACGAGATTGTGGAGATGCAAATATACAACCCCTTGCACTTCTCAAGTTCTCATAAAATAGTTGGCTTCCTCTAGAGATAAAAAACTCCCCTGATATATTATGGTGTTAACAAAATATGTGCAGGCCACTGCTGCCTACTGGGTATCTTCCAGGAAAAAAACAACTGATGCATTGAGCTACTGAAATACATTCAGGTCAGACAAAAGACTAACTATTGAATGGATTATGATTTTCCCCGGTGCTTTGCAAAAAATAGGTTATGCAGCTCTCACTTCACCTACAATATATTCCCTTTAGGATATAAAATAAAAGGTAATGATGCATAGTGTTTGTCAACATGGAAGTTATAAGGAAGGCTTTGACCAGAGGAGCTAATTGTTGGTTTACATTTGACGACATGAGGGTCTATGATAACAATACTACGGAGTACTTGCAACTTATGCAGATTGCAGAGGACTATTCCATGTTACTTGAAAGACACTTGGTTTTTTCTTTCATACAAATGCAAATTTAACATGATTTATTAAACTCTTTACAATTAACAGGCATTTGATGACATTTTTTTATGAAAAATGAAGGGCTGAAGGCTATCAGGAAATTGTACAACATAATACATCCTCTCAGCTCAACACATGAAAATATATAGGGAGCAAACATAAAATCTATTCATGAGATAATTAGGAGGAAATTTTACAGCTCTCGACACAGCCTGCTCTATGGCCCTGGCTTGTTGAAAATAATCTTCCTTCAAGCCATCTGCTAGCCATTTACACTCTCTGTATATCAAGCAGAAAATAAACAGTGTGCTCTTATAAAATGTCCTAGCCAGATAAATCTATTAAAGAATTCACAAAAACACTATCAGCCACCACCAGTTAACAGTGATAAAGGATTGACACTTGATAAACTGATAATGACAGGAATAGATTTTCATGTACCATGAAAGAATATATAGTGAGTAATTACTCTAGTGGATTCCTTTATGCTCGACCTGTGAAACTATGCAACTCACCTAAAACTATCAATGAAATTGTTTCGTGCGATGATAACAGAACTACCTAATGGATCAAAGTAACAATCACCATTGCAAAGTTTAGCTCAAACTTTAAGGAAAGAAAATTGGATAGATGCATGTTAATGGCTAGCTCAAAGTGAAAACAACTTTTTATCACGCTTATTCCAGTAATTGCTAATCAGATGGAGACTCAGCTTAACAGCAAGCTAACAACATGGCATGTTGGTATCTCAGAAGTATCTCAGGCAAGTTCCGATAGTATGGGAATGAGCAGATGAAAAGAATCACATTCTAGCTACTCAGGCACGAATATGGATTAAGGTCCAAAATAAACCTAAAGTGTCAAATTATTATCAGCAGCGCTTTGTGATTACTTACTGAAAAAGTCACACTTACTTTGCAAATTTATACCCTTTGTAAGCACCAAGGAGAGTTGATTTCAGAACCCCTATTGCACTCACATTAAGCCTTTTCACACTTGCGATTGACAACAAAACCTCTACTCTAAAATGATTGAAAGCCCTGGAATAACCCAACCTAAACAGCCCTAAAACCTCTTTCTCTAGCTCAGGATCCTCCTCGACGGCGAAGTTTATCTGGGCCAAAACATTTCCTTCAGCTTGTCTCATTATCGACTCATCTTTCTTGTCCATTTCCTCACCTCCAAAAAAAATCACTATCCCTTCAATAACTTCCCTTTTACCAAACCCCTTTGAAGCAAAAACCAACAACTGATTAACCAACCACGGTATTTCGTGCACATCAACATCCCTCATCCCAATAAACACCTTGGCAAGAAACTCACTCCTCCTTGTTTTATCTAGAAATTCAAAATCCTTGATTATTTCCACCATTCTCACACACAAAACCTTACACCAGCCACACTCGAGCATTTTATCAAGCACAGAGTTGGTGTATTCAACCTGATTCTTCACTCCATTCAATGATCTAATTAGGTTTACGCATTTTGGTAGCAAATTTAGAATTTGAATGTCTTCATTCTCAGATATGTGAGGCAGGTATGAGATGATGGAATCCACTACCGGAACGAGATCAGGTTCCGGCATTGAGTCGAGATGAGTGGAGAAGAGCTTGAGGGAGGAGCTTGAGTGCGAATCGTGAGGGATTTGTTGGGAAGTGAAGAGGGAGGTGTACGATAGGAGGAGGGAGGGGAGGAGAGAAGTGAGACAATCTTCGATCTTAGAGAAGGAGAGGAGGGAGTCAACGTATTTCGAGACTGCGGTGGAAGGATTCGGAGATGATGCGGCTAGGTCGTTGAGGTAGGCGAGGAGAGTCGCCTGAGAGGACGGCGTGAGGAGGAACGGCGGCAGAGCCGGTTGGTGGATGTTGTTTTGGCGGCGGCCGCGGCATTCGTGCGCGAGTTGGATTATCTCGGCGGAGGATAACGGCGGCGGTTGGTGATCGGAGCTGGACATTTCCGACATCGATTTCCGGTGAAGATTCAGGACGCGGTAGCGCGCGGGAGAGTTGTTACTTTTCTGTTAGTATTTGGGTGTGGATTTTAAGCGGGAAAAGTTCCATTCCGTTTTTTATGCTAAAAGACTGCAGACGCCAAAAACCTGCTCTGCAAGTCTGCATAATCATCCCTGATAAGGCGGAATTGTTTGCTTCTATATAATGTCTTGATTGGTATTAACAATAAAATGTTACGGAGTATTTCTACTCTAAAAATTTGTATCTTATTTTGTACGGAGTATACATTTTGTATTGGTCAATGCTAATTTTTGTAAACGTACCAACACTTTGTGTTAGTGTAAATTTTTTTTAACGCACCAACACTTTGTGTATATGTAAACCATCAAAATGTTGGTACATATACTTTTGGTGTACAAATGAGGTACAAATTTTGGGATACATGTAACATGCTTCTTTGGAAAATATCAAAACATTTTAAAATTCGTAACATCTAAAAGATTTAAATCAAGTTTAGACTTCACCAAATATCCAATAGAAAGTGAAAGTATTTTAGGAAAAACAAAAAAATGAATGAGGAAGTATTTTCAAAAACTGAGAGAGAATGAAAAAGAGTTTTTCTAATTCGATTAGAAAAGGGAAAAAGAATTGAAACAAAAAAAGAGTTTACAATTTAGCATTTATTTTATAAAAATAATAATTTGTTTTAATGAGGTAAAGATGAGTATTGGTCTGAACAATTTTATCTAAGTTTTTAGGAAATGTTTTGTGGTACATTTAAAATATCTTGACGGACAAGTTTTAGCAAACCAAACATCATGGTTACATCGGGTTTGTATGATTGAGCTATTTGGTATGGTTGTTATATTTGAAAAATAAATAAAAAAACATATTATAATCTAGTTTAACCTGAAAAAAAAGTAGAAGAAACTTCATAAATTAATTTTCTTTTTCGATGCTCCTACCCAAACCAATTATTCCTTCTGTACAGAAAAGAGTTTCTTGGAATTTTTTAAAATGTTTGACATATGTTACTTTTGTTCAATTTATATGAAATTAATGACGATCAAGTTTAAAAATATATTTATACAGTGTATATTAAAAAGTTCAAAAATCAAGAGTAAAATAATTTGACAAAAAATACACAAAGACAAGAATCAATATTTGACCATCTAATTAGTACGTAAACAAATACTCCGTATGTTTTTGAAACGGATAAAGTATATCATAAGTATACTGTGTAGAGTAGAGAAAACATTAGAATGACATTAATATGCAGTGTATGATAAGTGCATTTTGTAGGGGGAGAAACAACAAGTAGGACACAACATTTATAAGGATCAACTTCAAGACAAACAATTAAAATATGCTTGACCCAAGTCTCACAATTGATTCACCAAGCACAAAAATCAGCAACACATCTAAACAACCACAGCAATATATGAAGAATAAAGATGTAAAACAACACGCGATTTTTATACGTCGAAAACCCCTTCGGTGCGAAGGATAAAAACCACGGGACTTGTAGGGAGTCCGCTCTCTTCTTCTCTTATTATGAAAATTGAGGGTAAAAACATCCAACTCAGTCTAGAAAGGATGTCACAGTCCACCAATAACAACATACATAAGAGTCATCAACAAGAGAAGAGAGAAAATTCAGAAACATCACTAAAAACGCAGGGATACACCAGCTGCTATAACAGGAGATCAGTAGCTCTGATTGATGTGAAAATTTAACAGATTGAATCCCTATGTGTAGGAAACAACCTCTGAGAATTTCAGCTCAATCCAACGGTCGGATCGCCGGCAATCGTCAATTTTGTGCACTAACTATTCCTCTCTCTCTCTCTCTCTGTTTTCTTTCTTTCTTTCTAAGATTTTTTTTTCTCTCGTGACTTCACCACACAGCCTCCCACTGAATTTAGGCCACTCAAAAGAAGAAACCACTTCAACACCTAGGCCCTCCATAAAAGAAAGGAGAACAAAAACCCAAAAATGGGCTGGACCCACAACACATTTAGATGTTAGAACATCATTACATCAACTATATATAGAGTAAAGACATTTGAATGACATTAACATGTAAAGATTTGCATCAATGCAGTCATCTGTTGTCCTAGAGCACAAGAGCCATATCATTCAGATGCACCATAGGATTCAAGTAGACTAAAATGAATTTACACATGAAAGGAAGATTCAAAAAAAAAAGGCATCACCGTTCACCGGCTTCAGTTTTCTGTTAGCCCATCCGTATCCTCTTCCACGACTACATGAGTTTTTATCTTTCTCAGGTGGGAGATGGATGCGGTCTCCATTGCGAGAACCAGGATCCTCGGCTGCTTCTGCACTGTTAGATTTGGGTGAAAGGACCGCATTGTTTCCATTTCCCACATCACCTCCAAAGCCTTCAAAATGCTCAAATTTCCTTGACATAACCGTACAAAGTTCGATGAGGTCATTGTTATAATCCCTCACACGGATTAACAGCTCTACCTCGCAAGCGATTTCCCTCTGAACTGGTTCGGGTATTGTGACTGCAGGGTCCGAGTAATTCTGCAACCCATACCACTCAACCTGAGTGGCATAAAGAAAGATCTCTAAGCCATCAAAAATTGAAAACGGTCTAGAAATGCAGATGGTTAGTTAGTAGAAAAAGATAATACGGATGGGAGTAATTATATTGTTGGTGCCTACCTTTTGACGTATAACGTGGCAGAGAGGATCTGTTAACAGGTTGCCAGTCAAATCCTCAAGCTTTTGATGCTTCATGTGTTGTAGAATCTGGTTGTCAATGGCTCTAGGAGCACTAAGAAGCTTCAAAATTGCACTCATATATTTGTAAAACATTGCAGTAACTCTCAGAAACTTCTCTGTATGTGGATCTGCAAGATGTTTTAATTGTGAATTAACGCATAGCAATGGGTCAGTTTAATAGGCATACTAGCTATGAACAACTTACACTTGAGGTCCATCTGTACAAACGAAGAAAGAACGAGCACGGCAGCTTCTTCTCTTTTATACAAGGATTCTTCCAGTGCCAGTACCTTAGGGTCCTCATTCTGAGTTAGAATGCATCCTTGCAGTTTTCTGATAACATATTGCATTTCAATTATAAAATATTCAATAAATCCCAGAATATAGGTGGCTATCGCAGCACTAGTAGATTTGTTTATGATGGGGTAAGCTTCAGATGTGTCTGATGGGGCTGCCTTCTCTGATCCAACTACTTGTAGAAGGTGAGTTGCCATGTCTTGGACGACAAGCATATCATTGGGGGCCGAGGTTAAGGAAACGATCAGACAGAACATACGTTTAGCAACTTCGGGATCTGTGATTGAGGTACTTCGGCATATATTTGTTGCCCATTCTCCAATTAAGTTCTTTGTACCCCCCACCATTGTACCGGCAATCATCTGAACTATATCACCAATAACCTGCATATATTAGCCTTCTTCAGAAAGTAGCCTTGGAAGAAGATGACATTGAGACTTGTATAAGAAATAGTGTCTTATGGAATAAGTCTGATTACCATGACAAGAGATGAATCCAGTGAGGAAATTTTCATTTTTATAGAGAAAAAAAATTCAGCACAAAGCAACTATTTGAGAGTAACTTCTATCTGATTAAAGAGCAAGCAAAAAATAATTGGACAAAATGCTGGGGAAGTAGACTCTGGCGAAAGATGAGGAAGAGATACCAAAATGGAAAATCCCTCTCCCAATAGTGGAATATTTTTGTTCCAACGCGAAAGGAAAGGTCAGCTCAACAGAAAGTATATGGTTATTAAGGGAAAATTAGACAAACGTGAAGTCAATTGAGCCTAACTTGCATTTATCAGAATTTATTTCCATAACAGTCCAAAAACCCAAAACCCATTTCCCCACCCAACTTCCACCCTATTCATATGGACACAAGTTCCAAAACACGATGATCATAAACTAAAGTTTCCTATAGTTATGAATTACCTCAACCTCAGGAAAATAAGACAACCCAAGAAACTCCTCAAGCAATGGCTTTGTAATCTTTTCAATAAACATTTCTTTACTCCTTCCAGGCTCAACACTATCACAAATGTTGTCATGAGTATCCCAACTAGCATCTGACACATTTCCAGAGGCAGCCTCATTTCGAGCCACTGACAGCAAGTCGTTCAACATAACTGCATAATCGGAGCTGCTCAGACTTATAGTTATCAACTTTTTCAAGCACACTAAGGCAAGTTGGATGTTCTCCCTATGCCCACCAATATCTTTCCTTCCCGTGATGTCTTTTTTCCTCTGGCTTATCTCACTTTTTTCACGAGTCTTCAGTAATAGAATCACTTCCAGAAGTGGGGAACCCAATGAATTGATATTCCCCTGCACAGTCTTCAATGGATCATCTTTCCCCAAAGAAATGAAGTCCAATTGCCGCATGCAGATCTTCAAGACAAAAGATAGAGTTACCAGCAGCACAGATGCACCATCATCAGATAATAAATCCTGAAAACCCCCATTAATTTGTTTAATAGCACCCTGTAGTAGCTGGTGAATGTATGAAGTTTTCAAGCGTGGGGATCTCTCTTGAAGATTAGTGCAGCTTGAGTACAACTTATCTGAACCACAGTTACTCGAAGAGCGCATAAGTCCTCTTTTTGCAGCTGTCTTCTGCATAAATTCACTTGCCTCTTCTTCGGCACACTCATAGAGGGAAACCAAACGAGAAAGCTCTTTCACCAATTCAGCCTTTTTGACATCAGTTGCTTTCTCCAGCTCAAAGAAGGTGGTATTCAAGTTCACTTCAATAATTCCCAAAAAAATCAAATAGCACATTGCCACCTGTCCAGATTCCAATGTATGCTTCGCTTCAAAATCTTCAAGTATGCCTGATCCAACCCGCAAGATTGAAAAGAGAGTAAGGAAATACTTCAACACGATTAAAAAGAAATCAGAAACATAAATCTCTCTCACACACACACACATATTTCTGATTGATGCAACATGGAGATATGTATGCATGCAAGGAATGTCATTGTAGACTGATGCCAAAAACATTTTTAGATGGAGACAAGAAGACTATATGTGTTGTAAGTTCTGGTGTTTTTCACCCATTTTTACCGGAGAGACTTTCAGTTTTGATCAGATCCCTGATCTGTAACAAGCCATTGGATAAGCTCCGGCTAGCCAAGGTTCTTCCTTCCTGCAACAGTTATAGCCTTTATAAATTATTGATCATATCTTGGAGATTTTTATAAGCATGATTTAAAACAACCTCATTCTCTTGGGTAAGAGAGAAGCCAGGCAAATCCAATGAATCTGAAGGATTACTGGCAATTTGATGAAATAGCTGCAGGATCCAACTGGTGCAGAACAGAAGACAGTCAAATGGCTCTTCAATAAAGACTTCGCCATTCTCAATTATAATACAATTGATAATCTCAAGCAGCTCCGTATCCTGAAAATTCATCACTTCATTATGAGTGAATGTGAAATGAAAATTTCAAAGACAAATAGCTTTAGATTTTATGAAAGATGCATAAAAGTAGATCATTATTAAACTTTTGCTTGATCATAAAATAAAAGGCAAAACAGATGATGATAATGGGCGGCAACCTTAGTGAGAAATCGTTGAAAGTGGGGCAAGATGAAATTCAAAACATGTTCAGCAACCAAGGGATCTATCAACACCAGCTTCAACAATCCATGGTACACAATCTCTCTGACTCTTGCCTGTGGTGAAGTGAGTTACCTTACTTACCTCTCTTTCTGGTTATAAGTGAAATGAGATAAATTATTTAGCCTGTCATAATACCTGCTGACAAAGACATCTCCGCAGTAAACCACTAAGCTCCTGAAAAAGGCCAGCCCCAGTTATATGATAAACTTCAGTTTTTTGGCAGCTGCTGGCTTCGCTACTTGATTTTTGAAGAGAGGCTGATCCTCTTTTTTCAGACCGTTTTTCTGCTAAAATTAATTCAACAATAGCAGCAGCTGCAGAAACATGAACAGAAGCTTCTTGCCTAAAAGTACCCTTTTGTAAGGCCAGTATGGTATGATCCTGCATCATTAAAGAGAGAAATGAAGGCAAAAAAGAATGAAAACGATGGGATGGATCTCACAAAAAGAATGCTACAGAAATGTTTTAATCATTAAGACAGCCCAAGCTTAGAGTAGGCCACATATAATTTTTTATATTGTAGAACACCTTAATGTCTTCAAATAACAGGGAAAATAAATTTTGACTTCAACAAGATCCCACTTTCATTCAGTCCAAAGAACCTTCTTTTGATATTGTTTTGAAGTCCTTGATGTTTGGTCATCTATCATACTTGCAAAGTACAAACTACTAAAACTATAAATATTAATCGGGACCTGAAGATCTCGACTGCATTTAATCAGAGGCCATAAAACATTGATGAGTGAAGAGGATATTTCAGAGTCCGAGAATGTGAAATTTTCCAATAACTTTTTGAGATCTGAAGCACATTGTAGCAGTGAATGCAGATGACTCTGAACTAGATCTCCAAGCAACCTACAAAAGAACATAACGAAAAGCAATAAAACACCATGCTCATCATACTAAACAGGAAAGGTAAGAACAGATAACGGATGCGAGGGATAATTACTATACCGTATGATTGGAATCACCCCTGGCTTTGAGGAAAGGATTTGTAAAATGCATTGCTGTATTATCTGTTAAGGGACAGTTAGGTGATAAATTTTACAAAATCTTCAACATAAGGAATATCCAGGTAAGGTTCACAAGGAAAGGGATGGCCAGCACTTCTAATTTCAGAAACATCCTTACCTCATTTCTCACCCCATCATGGAGATCAAACAAACTTTTTAACACTTCAAGACCTAATTCCACTGGACCTGCGATACAATCATACTTGATTTCTTTGCTGCTTTTCTCCTCTACACCCTCAAGCAATCCGAATCCCAATTTTACGATACTTGACACAACATGCTCTCTCCCAAAGCTGCTTTCCTTGACCTGAAAGAGTATATACACAAAACTATACGGATACTAACCAAAAAACTTACCATATGTGAGTATAAAGAACTCAAAGATGTGACATAGTATGAACTCATACTTGATTTTTTTCATGCCTGTTATTCCATGGAAATTACTTGCAATGAGATTTTTTAGATAAAAATATACAACCCCTTTCAGTTCTCATAAATTTCTGGTCATTACTTAAAAACAAAAAACTCACCTGATAAATTATGGAGTTAACAAAATATATGCAAGCCCCCTACTACCTACTAGGTATCTTCCAGAAAGATAATAACACTAAGTGACGCATTGAACTACTGAAATACATCCACCATGTGGTGTAGCAATAAAAAATAGTTTCCCATGTGCTTTACAAACAAAAAAAAAAGCTCATGCAGTTCCCACTTCACCAACAGTATAAGATATAAAAGGTAATGGTGCATAGTGTTTCTCAACATGGATGTTATCAGTAAAGCTTTGACCAGAGGAGGTAATTGTTGGTTGATGCTTGACCGAATGTGGGTCTAGGAAAACAATACCACTGGCAATCATAAAATATCATCAATTTATGCAGAGACCTATTCCATGTTGCTTTAAAGACGCTTGGTTTTTTGTTTTCTACAAAGGCAAATTTAACATGATTTCTTAAACTATTTACAATTATCAAGCATTTGATGACATTTTTTACAAAAAATAAAGTCCTCATGAGATCATTAATGTACTTCTCAGTTAAACACATGAAAATATAAATGGAGCAAGCATAAAAGCCATTCATGAGATCATTATGGGAAAATTTTACAGCTATCAGTACAGCCTTCTCTAAGGCTCTGGCATGTAGAAAATAATCTTCCTTCAGGTGATCAGCTAGCCAATTACACAATCTGTGTTTAAGCAAAAATAAACAGTGTGATCTTAGAGAATGTCCGAGCCAGAAACTGCTAAAGAATTGAAAAAAAACTTTGTCAAACCAACCATCATATAACATTGATAAAGAATTGATACTTAACTTGATCATCTGATTATGAGAGGAATAGATTTTCATGTACCGCAGAAAAGAATATAGTGAGTATGGCAGTTACTCTAGTGGATTCATTTATGCTCGACCTGTGAAACTGTGCAACTCACCTAGAACTATCAATGAAATTGTTTTGTTCAATGAGAACAGAACTATCGATTGGATCAAACTAACAGCCACCATTGTGGAGTTTAGCTCAAACTCAATGAGTTAAGAGAAAAAACGGATGTATGGATGGCAGGCTAAAAGTGAATCACACCGTATTCCACTAATCGCTGATTAGAAAGAGACTCGTCACAATGGCAAGATAACAACATTTCATATTGGTATGCCATTATGTCGAGGGTATGTAGGGCAACATTTTGGGATAGGGGAATGGACGGATGAAAGGAATCACACACTAACTACTCAGGCGTTCTAAAGTGTCCAAATAAGCCTAAAGTGCTGGATTGTCAGCTGCGTTCTACGATTACTTACTGACATGTCACACTTTGCAAACTTATACCCTTTGTAAACATCAAAGAGAGTTGATTTCAGAATCCATATTGCACTCGCATTAAGCCATTCGATTCTAGAAATCGAGAACAAAACCCCGATAGTAAAATGATTGAAAGCCCTAGAATAGCCACACATAACCAGCCTTAAAACCTCCCTCGCTAGCCCAGGGTCCTTCTCGACCACAGAATTTATATGGAGCAAAACAGTTCCTTCAACTTGTCTCATTATCAGCCCACCTTTCGCATCCATTTCCTCACCTCCAAAAAACATCAATATCCCTTCAATAACATCCCTTTTATCAAAACCTTTTGAAGCCAAGACCAACAACCGAATAACCAACCACGGTATGTCCTGCACATCAACATCCTTCATCCCAGCAAACACCTTACCAAGAAACTCACTCCTCCGTGTTTTATCTACATATTCAAAATCATGGATTATTTCCACCATTTTCACATAGAAAGCCTTACAACAGTCATACTTAAGCATTTTATCAAGCACAGAGTTGGTGTATTCAACCCGATTGTGCATTCTCTCAAATGAATCGATTAGGTTTAAGCATTTAGGTAGCAGAATTAGGATTTGAGCATCTTCACGCTCAGATATGTGAGGCACGTATGAGATGATGGAAACCACTACTGGAACAAGATCAGGTGCCGGCATGGAGTCGAGATGAGTGGAGAAGCGCCGGAGGGAGGAGCTTGAGTGCAAATCGTGCGGGATTTGGCGGGAAGTGAAGAGTGAGGTGTACGATTGGAGGAGGTGTGGGAGGAGAGGAGTGAGAGAATCTTCGATCTTAGAGAGGGTGAGGAGGGAGTCAACATACGCCGAGACGGCGGTGGAACGATTCTGATGAAAGGAGGCGCGGCGGTTGAGATAGGAGAGGAGAATGGGGTGATATGACGGATCCAGGAGGAAAGGCGGGAGAGTCGGTCGGGGGACGTTGTTCTGGCGGAGGCGGAGGCGGCGGCGGCATTCAGACGCGAGTCGGATTATCTCGTCTGAGGACACCAGCGCCGGGTAGTTGCCGGAGCCGAACATTTCCGGCATGGATTTCCGGCGAAGATTGAGGGCGCGGGAGGAGAGTTGTTACTTTTCTGTTACGGAGTATTGGGGATTGGATTTCAAGCGGGAAGAGATTTCAATTTATGGTAAAAGCCTGGAGAGTGGAGACCGTCCAAAACCTGCTATATACTCGGTTATATAATCTTCTCCAGGTAGCCCGGAATTGTCAAACAGCGAAAGAAAAAAGTGCGGAGTAATCAGCAATTCACCATGGGACTCAAAATAAAATTTCTATTTTTATTATGTTTATGTTGTTTTGAAATAAATTTCTCATATTTTTTTATAGAATCAATTTGGTTTTTACCGTGATTCTCCCCATTTTAAAATGTTTTGAGTATGTCAAAAGTGTATCATAAATGCAAACATTATATTCTATCCATTACGTTATTTTAAATGTAGATAAAAAGATTATAGAATAGATAAAGACTACAAGTATGTCTTAAGAAGAGTTATGATGTAAAAATGGAATATACTTTTCGTATGCCCTTAGCGTACAACAACAACAACCCAGTTGAATCCCACAAAAGTAGGATCTGGGGAGGGTGTGTGTACGCAGACCTTACCCCTACTCGAAAGTAGAGAGGCTGTTTCCAAAGAGACCCTCGGCTCAACGTCGAAAGTTGCATTGCTTGACTAACTGCTACTTCATTAATTAAAGAAGCGCAGACAGTTTAGAGATCCATTTTGATTTATTCCATCACACCCCAAAACCAAAAAATGGTGAAGTTTTGGCTCCATCAGAGATGATGGAAAATATTAAAATAGAAGTTTCATTTTTTATTCTCAAAATAGAAGTTAAAATATATTTAGATTACCAATAATGACCATTTACATTACATAAAAGCACATGTACAGTGCCACCACAGTGCACTCTTATTTAGGTAATGAAAACATAAAATTCATATCTTTGTGTTTTCTCTATATTTTAGTCTTATTCATAGTTATTTCTTTTCATCTTTACATAATGTGTACAGATGTGTTCTGTGAAATCATTTGGATTAAAAATTACTACTCCCTCCGCTTGGAAATGTTTTTCCCACCATCCTTTTTGGCTCATTCGAATTTTTTTTTCATTTTCTTTTTTAGATTATTTGTTAGGATAAATTTCAATAATACTCTACTATTTTATCACAAATTTACTTTTTTTATTGTTTTTTAATTAAAACAAGGAGATTTAAAAGTTTAAAAGTTTATAGTATGTGCATTTTTAGAACTTTGGCACTGTTTTTATCCAGTTTTTACTTTTTTCGGTCAAAATTGATAAACTTCAACCTCAAATTTAATAAAAATACTATTAAATATTGATAGAAAAATTGTTTTATTAGATTTATCATATCAAATGTTTTCAAAATATTATTTTGTTTAATTGATATACAATATATACTCCGTATTATATTCAATAATAGGCAAAATGTTAAAAATAATTTACCAGAAAATGTGAAAATTAGACAAATACTCAGGGACGTACATGACATCAATTGCTTTCTCCATCTCAAAGAGGGCATTCAATTTCACTTCAATAATCCCAAAAAAAGCATGCAAGGAATAATGTTATCGTAGATTGAGGCCAAAAAAACATTTTAAAAGATTGTATGTGTTGTAAGCTCTGGTGTTTTTACCAGTTTTTACCCAACAAACTCTTAGACTTGATGAGATTCTTAAGTAGGGGTGGATTCGGTTTTAACGGTTCGGTTTTTACCTAAAACCAAAGACAAAACGGAAGGCATTTTGGCGGTGCGGTTCGGTTCGGTTTTGTAAAAAAGAGAGAAAACCAATCGTTATACGGTTCGGTTTTAGCGGTTTGAATTTCGGTTTTTTTTCAATTCTTTCGGTTTTTAGATAGAGACCTATTATTATATAGATATGCCAAACAATTGGTAGAGAGTAAAGTTTGCAAACCTTCAAGTAAAACATTAAATAAACTACAATTACAAGCAAAAAAAATTGGGAGAAATGTAGTAATTTCCAGTAAAAAAAAACTATAAAAATGCACTAGCTGCCAGAGAGTATGCTGGTTAATCAATATCTGCAATAAGTTAATCAATATCTGCAATAATTTGTTGATTTCAAGAATCATCAAGTTTTTTCAAGAATCAGTCCTTATCTGCAATAATTTGTTGATTTTATTTATTTTAACAGATTTCATTGTATGGATTAAATTAGGAATGCAGAGAAGCTTGTGGAGTCCAAGGCCTTAAAAGTGAGAATTGTATAGAACAAAGAAAACTTCTGTGCTCCTTCAAAAAAAAATTCTGTGCAAATTCAAGCCGAAATTTGGGATTTATACAAAAAAAATTAAAGAACAAAGAAAACTTCTGCAAAATATGAGAGTTATACAAGAGAAAACTTCAATTCCTAGAATGATTTGATAAAAAAATTAAAGAACATATGATTTCATACCTTCTTGGTTAGATGCTTTGGACAAAAATTGAAGATTCTCGTCAATCTTGGACAAATATTAAAGAACTGGTGGCCTGCTTTAGTGCTATTAAAGAAGTTCCTAGTTAGACTGCTTCACTGCGATGGCGGATGCTGCACAGCGAAGCGTTGGACTGCGTCTCAGCCGTCACTGCAATTCAAGACTTCGTCTGCCTGAGTCTGCGTCTCTGGCTCTCTGCGATTCGGAAGTCGGAACAGTCGCAAGTGTTGGACTGCGTCTCAGACTCTCAGCCGTCTCTGACTCTTAGGATTCGGAGATTTGAGATTTGGAGGAGTCTGACTATTGACCGTAAACCTCAAAGGTATAATAACTACTATTCGGTTTTTCACGGTTCGGTTCGGTTTTGAATACCCGAAACCGAAACCGAATTCAATCGGTTCGGTTCGGTTTTTTGAGTTCGGTTTCGGTTTTTACGGTACGGTTTTTTATTTGGTATTGTTCGATTGATTTCGGTTTGGTTTTCGGTTTTCGGTTTTCCGGACCCAGCCCTATTCCTAAGCTTTAGCATTGGATAATATCTGGGTGGCCTAAAGGTGAAAAATTCTTCACTTCCTCCTGTAACAAGCGTGGTAAAAAAACATCATCTTCCCATTGGGTACCCTTAAAATCTGAAACTTATAAGATACTCCGTATTAAAGTTAGTAACACATGTGTTAGAATTACTTTATGTAAAAAATACAACCAGAGAGCGGAAAAAATTTAAATCACACACCCAAGCAAGGGAAATTGCACAAAGTAAATTTAAACCTTTACCGTTCTCCACCAAGCTTTACTGAATTACAGTTCTCTGCCAAGCTCATTTAAATAAAAAATTTTAGAAAATTTTGATGTGAGAAATAATACAGAGTAGATTATATTATCACGAGTAACAAAAATATACAACGGAAAAAGGGGGGTCAAAATTTTTGACCATGGAAATAGCAAACAATTTTTTTGGGCGAACGAAATATATGATATGTATATTTTGTGGACAATAGAAAAATCTTTTTGAACATCAACTATAGACCTTTGAATGACATTAACATGTAAAGATTTGCATCAATGTAGTCATGTCCTAGAGCACAAGACCACATGATTCACATGCACCTTATGATTCATACAAGTAGTATAGACTAATGAATTACCATATGAAAGAAAAATCAAAAGATTATAGAGTACTTGCCAGCTATCCCAAGACCACATCTGGTTTTGCCCATACGAGTCGTCTTCCATATTTCCTGCATATGGAAAATCAACTCAAGGATGCACGCGCTTTTTGTCTTGAATGAGATGGGGTGTCATCAAAGCTCTCCGATGCTTTTGATACCAAGCAACACACAATTGAAAATAAATCAGGTCGGCACGGTTGGTCCAAAAGTCAATGGAGCTCCTTTACATATGTTATACACAAACATGCTAAGTCAGATTTCACTGCTTCATATTCAAACAGCTTGGCTAACAGATTAATGAGTAATATGATAGTTTTAGTACTTAGTTCAATATAACTTCCAGATTCTGATTTGAGCATTCAGTTCACTTTTTGATTTTTTCTATTTATAGACCCATGATATTCCTACTCTACCATTCTACTCAAATCTCAGTTGCTGTGCTGAAGTTAAAGAGCATTTTTTTGCTTACATGCTATATCATGTCTCTGAAATGAAGAAAGTTGTGGCTCTCTCTAAACATTGAAAAACTACTCATTGTGTAAGAAGTACATGTCTATTCTGTGTGCAAACAACTGTTTTAGCAAGTGTCAATTACACTTTCTGTTTACAGTAATACGACCCAATTAGTCTATGACCATAATAGTTGGTAATATGGAGTGAATTAATGATAGAGTATTAAACACCGTTAAGCAAAAATCAGGGACTAGCACCCTAAAAAGGGCGCACACACACAAGTTAAGCAGATCTCAAGAAAATGATAGAGTATTAAACACCGTTTTGGAGGGGCTGAGGATCAGTCATATAAACCCTTTGAACCTAAAATGGCTAGTGATATCATCGCGTAGCTGAGATTTATCAAACACAATGTCTAGTGGTAGGTCATTGGTACCGCTCGCGATTTTCATTGAACAAACATGGCCATCTGTTCCAAATTCAATGAGGGCATCAAACTCACAACCCCCCTTGAATAGTACCTCCACCAGAGAAGCCGAGTGCTGAGGGTCGAAGGGGCACACATGCCAAAAAGGAAGCAATTCGGATAGTGTTACATCGGACTCATCTCCCTCATCTGCCATTACAATATAGTCAAATCTGTAAACAACAACCACTTCAACATTAGGATCACTTCCCTTCATCTCAGAATACCAGGCTCTCACTTTTTCAGCAAGACAAAAGTCACCAAATCTATTCAGGTAAAGAAGTATTTTCTTGCCCCTCAGTTCACTCACGTGTATCTTCTTCTTCTCTTTATAAACAAAGTCCCTTGGCGGAGGAGGCACCAACAGTGACTCCATAGTGAGTTTCTCAAGCTTTTCCAATTCCTTTCCTACAACGCACTCGCTGCTGAATGGATACCCATCAACCCCAAACTTGCTCAAGATTTCTCTTCCGCCAGGTTCAACAAATGAACCATCGCGTCCCACGATGATGATTTGATCTGTGAGGTCCCTGTAAAGAC